TACAAGGAGAAAGGCTTTTGCTCTGTCCTGGATGATGTTTCCTTCTCATGGGCTAAATCATGGTGAGGGGGGAGAATTCCACTCAGAATAGTGTACTGTATCCCTTGGGAACAGTTGGCGATGGGGTTATTGGAGGCTCTGTAAATTCTCCTACCTGCTGAAAGATTCTGGGCTGGAAGAGGGAAAAACAACATTGCTCACCTGCCTAGTCTTTGCTTCCTGCTTCTCCCATGTGAGTTCTGACAGTCTGCTTCTTCATCGTCTCCTAAAGCAGGAACTCTCTATCCACAGGTAGTGGGAAGTGAGTTTGGACATCTGCTAGAGGCATCCAAGCCCTGCTAGGAGGGCTCCCAAACACACACACACCCTTTGCTTCATGCTTATCTGAAACAGCTGTACCATCTGACACAAGTTTCACGCCATGCAATTCTGCTGTGCCAAACGTGTTTCCCACCAAGGCAATGAAATCCCTTCGGCCTTGAAGTTGTGGGTGCTTCGAGGCATTTATCACCTCTAGGGCTCATCTGGAGAATCTGTAGGGAACAGCCCCTGAAATCTTTTTCCCTCCAAAGCCAGAGAAGGCAAATCTTAGCAGGCTGCATGGAACCTGTACTATCTGATACTGGGCTGCAATGTTCCCTCTAAGCTGTGGAGTCTCGTGAGCAAAAATTCTACTTTGTGAGCTACTGGCACTTTGTGAGCAAGTGATTTGGCTACTGCATAAATTAGTTTGCTCTGAAGCTGTCCTTCCTGAGCGAAGACAAAAATGTGTGAGCCGGAGGCTAAAAAACTGTGAGCTAGCTCACACTAACTCAGCTTAGAGGGAACATTGCTGGGCTGCTTGGTGATGTGCTTTACGTTGAAAAAGGGACACCACTTAATTCATCACCCTTGTACACCAGGGTCCTTAGTTCCTTTTACAGCAAGCATTTGCCGCATTAAAATAGTTGTTGGAGCTAGAGGGCAATTAGAGAAGACACAAGGGGGTACACGCTTGTACTCCGCTTTCTCATAAATTCTCCTCCCAGGGAAGTTTCCCCTCATGTTGTCTGAATTTAGTATTTCTGAGTATAGAGAAACAAACCACACATGGTTTGGTCAGGATCCAAGGACCCACACAAAGAGTTCCATGTGCCCAGCCAGGCAAGAGGGATGAGTACCTAATCCCTTTTGTTTAGAGAATTGATATGCTTCCTCTCCAGAGAACCTGCTTGAGGGTGATTTAAAACTAAAGCATGACACATGCATAAAACAGCAACAAAATACTTTGAAGTACTTGCATGCTGCTTCTATTCGGAAAGCTTTTTGCAACAATATACCTGGCTGCTTTTTACAACTGGATTTACCTGTTAAGTATTGCAGTTGACAGATATGAATTCCTTCTGTACAACACCCTGAGTACATTATAGGAAGGTGAAATATAAAATTCTCTAGATAAATTCTTCAGAAAGGCTCCTCCCCTCCCAAATTTAGTCTGTCCCCCCTTTCCCTTTGAGATTTCAAGCACGGTTGTCTCCTGACTCCATAGGTACTGAAAGTTGTGGATTTGTTCCACGTATTCTTCTAAAATTTTTGAAAAATATCAAAAAGCCCAGTTGCACCTTTAAGATTAACAAAATTTATTGTAGCATAAGCTTTCGAGAAACACAGCTCTCTTTGTCAGATGCATGGAAGGTATGATGAAACTGGTGAGAGATGTAGGTGCTGGTATGGGGAGGGGGGAGAGGTTGCCAGTTTCTTCATACCCTCCATGTATCTGACGAAGAGAGCTGTGTTTCTCGAAAGCTTATGCTACAATACAGTTTGTTTAGTCTTAAAGGTGCAACTGGGCTTTTTTACTATTTTGCAGCGACAGACTAACACAGCTAACTCCTCTGGTTCTAAAGTTCTGGTTTTTCAAATGGTGTCCTGAGAAACCCGAAATGGCTTTTCATAGAGAAGGCCAGTAATGGTAAACAAACTACCCCGAAAGATAGCTTAGCGTCCCTTCAGAAGCACAGACATTGCAGTCACAGGAAAGGGGTGGCCCCATTTTTCACTGTACACAGCAGTGCCAGAATTCTCCGTGATTCACTGAATCCCATGGCAGACAAATCAACGCGGAAAGGGATGGCTGAAATGGGGAAGTATGAAAACAGACATTCTACACTAGTTCAATCAGGGCCACCAGTTTAAACTGAGCAGCATCTATTCAAACTCAAGTTTTCTATGCGCTAACAATCAAATTGGTCCTTTTCGTTACAGCACATATTCTGCGAAGAATGCATAGCTCTGTGGTTCAATAGAGAGAAAAGCTGCCCCCTGTGTAGAACAGTCATCTCGGATCACATTAACAAGTGGAAAGATGGGGCGTCTTCTGTGCAATTACAGATCTATTAAAAACTCGCACCTTCTTGCTTCACAGTGTAACTTTACTTGAATACTGGGGCTTTCAGCTTAAAGCAGGGTGCTGTGCCTCTCTGACACTTTTTGGGGCTTCTGCTACTGGATTTGTAAAGTCAAATCTTCGACAATGCATGTACCACATACAGCAACCTGACTGGAATCAGCATTTTACACACAAGGGCTGGCTGGCTTCCAAAGCGACAGGATACCCCAAACATTGCCTCAGGTGTATTAAGAACCGTGTTCGTGGCCATTCGAATGGGAGCCGGCAGTACCTCACAGGCGCTTTCCTATTCCCACTTCCTGTCCCATGTCTACTCATACTGCCAAGTTACTTCAATGATGTCAACATGGGTATTTGTTCCCTGAAGTCTATTTTTTTAAAAAACTATTTGATGCTATATTTTGACAAGGCGCAAAAATAAAAAGAGGAAATATATCTAATTGTGGTACTTTCTTTAAAAAGCTGTACTAGACCGGAAGGCTGGCAAGAATAAATGTAGTTTTAAATCTATGGAACACCCTTGTGTATTTTGTCCATTTATCGCCATAGGAAACTTCACTGTATCCGTGGCACAACTGATACATGTGCCTCTCAGGGAGGCCAGGCTTACTGCAACTTGGGCCAGGTCCTTTTCAGTGGCAGCTCCTACCTGGTGGAATCCCGGAGGAGATCAGGGCCCTGCGGGACCTTTTACAGTTCCGCAGGGCCTGTAAGACGGCGCTCTTGCGCCAGGCTTTCGAGTAGGAGCCACCACTACCATCATTGGTAGATCGGAGGGTTGGATCAACCATGACATTGCTGAGGTCAGTACCGCTGGATGGGGCTGAGTAACAACCATGGGTATTTAACCTCCTTATTATGTAAGAACCTGGAGAGTCCATCTTGTAAATTTGATTCCATCTTGTTAGTTTTTGATTGTAACCACTGAGCACTTTAATGTAGATTGTTTTATCCTGTTTAATGCTCTTTTATGTTTTGGCACATGGTGCCTTATTGTAAGCCGCCCTGAGCCCGCTTGCGGGGAGGGCAGGGTAGAAATGCGATAATAAATAATAAATAAAAATGACAAGCTTGCAAGGCGCTGCTACAAGCCCTGTAAGTGGAGCATTGCATTTCAAGGCATACAACACAATCGTATATGCTTCTTACACAGGAGTGCTTACAGATATACAGGTTTGTAGCACCATAGTTTATTTGCAACTGTCACATCTGCTAGCAGAGCTGCACCTCTAAATCTTCGTGCATCTGAGAAGTATTTTGAGCAAGCCACGGTGGGTACCATTTTCAGATTCATTCTCAGCACTCAACAGGGCAGACTGATAGAAGAACCCGACCAATGGGACCTACAAAGCTGCCCGATGAGGTCAGGTGGTCCCTGCCCCATCTTGCCTACATTCATCCAGTTGTCCTTGCTGCAGCAGATGAGTCAAATCCAGGCCTTTTCACATGTGACTCTTTTAAGTGAAGGAGCCAGGGAGGGGAATTGGGTCTTTCTGCCTTCAGAGCACTTGCTTCAGCCCTGAAGCTTTGACTTCCACAAGGAAGACTAAATCATCCATGGTCTTATGAGTGCCCGTGAGAATTTAAAAGGTAAACCAGCAAGCAGCCATTCCCCTCCTGTCCCAGTAATGATAACTTACCAGACCCAGGACAGAAGCAAGCCATTGTTGGGGAAGAAGCTGCAGCTGAGCGTCTATTCTTTGGATGAGAAGCACCCCCCCCTTGACTACCACCTTAAAAACAATCTTCTGTAGAGGTGCAGTTCAGCACCAGCAGTGTACTGACGCTCAGGAAATGTTGCACCATTTAAGGAGGAATTTTAATATATTTTGGTTGCCAATGGCTGCTCTGCTCAGCCCACAAAAATTTTTGTAAGGTCAGCTTGGGATGCACAAGTGTGAAAGTACCTTTTTAAAAAACCATTCTCCATAACATTTGTTCAAAGTTGCATTTAATTGCTATTTACATCCATTTGTTCTGAAATCAAGTATATTTCATTACAGTAAATAGTACAGAATGAAATGCAGAAAAGGGTATTTACCCTCAATACCATTCCCAGTAAGGCAGCTGGCGAGCAATTCTTACAGATGGTTACAAAAACCAGCTCAGGTCTGGCAGAAAGAACACTTCCTTTTTTTGTTGGAAAAAAAAGGTACAGATGAGAACCACTCATGCATTCACACCCCCGTTTCCGGCCCCCTCCTTTCCCCTCTTCCCCCAAATGATCAGATACTGATGCAGAAATGTTATTTCCCAAAGACACTTGCACAGTTTGTGATAACATATAGGCTTGAGATGGAACCCAAACCCTCTTTTCCCCTGCTCACCCCTAAATAAGAAGGTGCGTATGCTGGTTTTAATACAAGTTCACAGATGATCACTCAGCACCATTAAAGCCCAATTTCCAATTTCTTTTCAATGGGGCTTTGGAAGGGAGATTTCCCCTTGAGTGAATGGGCATTTGGGATGTTTTATTTTCACTCTGTTACAATGGGGACAAAGTCAGAATAATGATAGCTGGCTCAAATTTAGAGCAGTTTCCTTCCCTGATGTCCACAGCAAGAAAGTCCCTAGATTGTTAGGACCTCTAGGAAAAACAGAACCCACCCATATATCACCCTGGACAATGGTCCACGGTGTTCTTTCCACACATACCCCCCCCCCACTGATGGTCTGTAGCACCCACAGGTGAAGGAGAGAATCTAGATCATGTTACGCCACTTTACCATGATAAACATACCCAAAGCAGCTCCCCGAAAGGTAAAAGCAAACATAAACTCACAATGATGAGATGCACACGCTTCAGGCTGCACACAGGACTCCTGGCCAGGGGAGTATATGAAGCCAGCCCATGGGCCTCTACAAAACACAATCCCTCATCCTCACGAGATGGCCTTCCCCCCCAAGATCTTTAGTCACTGTCTCTGCTATCCTTCCACTACCCCCCCCTCGAGGTACCAGCTGTATTTCTTTGCAACTGGTAACCCCCATTTCATAAAGACATATGACTGTTGGGACAGTGGAAGGAGTAGCAGGTCGATGGTGAACGGCCCCACTGTACCTGGTCTAGCTCACCTGACACTATTTCACTGCAAACTTATTTTAAAAAATGGAGGTTGTAGCAAGTAGCGACACCCTGACAGAAGTCTAGTATATCAAGCCGGGCTCATACACGGAGGGAAATAAGACAGCAGAACAGGCTGCACATCTTCAGACTACAGGTGGCGGACAGTGCTTTGGGATGCTCGTCTACTCCCAACTCCCTGTGACACCAGCAGGCAGGAGAGCAGAACAATTCCCCCTGCTGTGTGCCACGTTTCTGTAGGCAGGAGTCGTTCAAAGCAGGGATCCAAGACCTACAGTCTATTTCTACCACCTTGTTTTGCATGCACGGACCAGGCTGCAGATGGCACACAGAGAGAGCCTGAAAAGGACTTTGCTCAACATCCCCCCGTTTACTAAGTTAACTGAGATCAAAATCATCACTCGTTCTACAAAAAGCAATTAAAATACCTCCCACCCTAACCCCAGATCTGTGTCATGGGTGGGAGAAATCCCAGCCCAGCTGACCCAAGTACTTTTGCACTCTTCAAAACGAACTGCAGAACTACCACTACTTTCAAAACATCATGGATCGGGCTGAAACAAAACAGGATTCAAGTTAATCAAGTTTTAATACTTAATATGTGGTTAGCTTTACCAAGTATTACGCCCAGTTATTTTTTTAATAATATAACAGTACAAAAATCTATAAAAATCAAATTATAGCAAAGATCCCAAGATTATAATTAAAAAAGCACAGCTTGTACAAAATAAATCTTAATCGCTATACTCCAAGAAAAATTAAGACAATTTTTTTTAAAAAAGAAAGCACTTTTAAGTTCTCCGATATCCACTGCATTCCATAGGCTAGTGTTCTGATATAGCTGTGCCAGAGAGAGAGAGAGAGAGAGACCACTCCCTTTGAAGTTCGGTAACTACTATATACTGTCACTAAAATTATATACACAAAAATCAAGGTTTTTGATATTCTTCTTTTATACAAATAAATACAGGATAACCCATATTGCATAGTGTGTGCTTGCTGACCCGAGTCGCATTTCCAAAATAAAAAGGATTCACAGTTAAGAGGATGAAACTATAACGTGAAACACATAGTAAAATGGTAGAACTGGATACAAGCAGTGAACTCAAACTACCACACACAGCCACATTTTCTGCCAGCTATAGTATAGCCAGGCCCACTGGAAAAGTCCTATCCTGCCAGGACAGAATGGTAAGATCATGGGAGATTGTGTCCCTTTTTATGGGGGAGGGGAACCCCGTACAAGTTCACTGAGACTTGAGTAGCAGAGGTCCTTAGCAGGGTTAGAGGTCTCACCTTTACGCAAGCGCCAGCTGTCACTGCAACTACCGCTGCTTCTACGCAGGCAAAGTTGAAAGCAGCTGCTATTTCAGAGCGTATTTTGAATGCAGAAATTGGGGGGGGGGGGGAGATCTGTGCCATGTCTGACATCTATAGAGTCAAAGCACCTTCAGGCAGCCCTTCCCTTTGAAGAACTAAGAGGGGAAAGCCACCGAACCTCAACGCCCCCCAGAGACAGCCACACACTCTCCAGCCACAACCAGGGTGTGGGTCAGATGAGGGCAGCGACAGTCTTGTGCCCCCCCTTCCCTGAGAATGTCAGGCAGAATGCAAATGCTCCGCATGATGTCCTACAGGTCAGGTGATTCTTCCTCCCCAGGGAGGAGGAGTCACACCCCTAAGGTTTGTGTGCACGGGGACCCGTGAGGGAGCTCCCACTGCACGGCTCATGTCCCCACACCCCTGAGTACCCCCCCAACAAATACACACTAGGCAAAAGCAGCTACCACCTGTGTGAGTTAGGCCTTAGGGTCAATCTAAGCCTTCCTGAGAGGTATGGAATTGCCTCACAGCAACATCCCGGACAGCTCCAATATCACCTGTATGTCCAAATCTGACCATTCCAGTGGCAGAAGCCGACCAAGACATTGGGGGCGCTGCCCTGGGGAGCACAGCGCCGACACAATCTGCTTCTCCCACATGATGCAGACACACGAGCACTACTGGGGTGACACGAGGGAAAGTGGCTCCTACGCTGCAAGGCTGCTTTATTTAAGGCTAAGACCCCAACAAAACCCAGCAGGAGCCAGATCCTTGACTGCTGCTCTAAGTGAGCCTGGCAACTGTGGTCACCAGATTGCACCCTTGACATTTCACTGCTCAGAAGAACAGAAAAAAAAAATGATGCTCCTAGGGGATACGACAAGGTTGCGCATCTGTATTATTTCCTTCCCATGCTACTTTGTGGAAAGTGAAGCCTCTGGCTGGACTATTTTTGTTTTTGAGAAGAGTTATGGCTTGGATCCTATGGCTCAGAAAGAAAAACCAAAAATTATCCCTACAATAGCAGGACGAACACAGACAGAAGAACCTAACGAGCAGGACGAAGCAGCACCAGGGACTTTACGCAGCCGCACAATTACCCAAAGGCGCACGCACACTCACGCTGCCCTAGCGGAAAGCTCTGCCGATCACTGATGACTTTTTTCACCAGCTACGTCCATGGAAATTCTTTAAGGCAGGAAGTATTTTTAAGTTAAGGTAAAGATACCTTTATTTAATTCTTTGTACCTGTAAAGTCACGTATACAGATTTTTTTTTGTTTTGCTTTGCTTTTCCAACAACAAATCGCAGAAACATAAATAGTAAATCTATAGAACGTTTCCTAAAATTAAAGTTGCAAAAAGTTCTCTGGAAGACATTCGTTGAAGGCCATCTTAATACTTGTTTTGTTTTTAAATACAATCAGCAGATGGACAGCCCCACCACTGGAAAACAGTTATTGTAATTTGTCATGGAAATGCACAATGGAGCAGAGACATGTTCAACAAACCATCTCTGCAAGCACTGCCGCTGACTTGCAAGACCAGCATAATTGTTTCTTTCTAAATCGGTAACACGCCGATGACGTCCCTGCTTGCGCGCGCACCACACCCCTTTTCCAACTTTGTTAACATCTTTTTTGGTGGCTTGATAAATCTGAGTATGCTCTGGAATCTTGAGGAAAATTTTTAACCAGCAGAGTTTCTGCTTGGGTTGATGAAATGCACGACAGTACAAATATAAGCTCGTGGCACCAATCAAAAGCTCCGTGGGACTCTTGATGCATGCACAGCGCCGGCGGAGAGGGCCCCTGCTTGTGTGGAACCTCAAGGGGACACCAGAGGTGTGAGACTGGAGAGCACAGCCTCCATGTCGGTTAGGTTTTAGCATAGACGATGACCTGATCTGCTTCTTGTAGCAAGAGAGGGTAGAGGCAGGGTATGTTCCCCCTTCCCCACCCCACCCACCAATCCCAACAACATAATTAACAGTGTATTGTTTTCTTTTTCACCACTTCATTGTTTCCGTAGCAAAACAAATTTAAGTCCGCTTTTCTATTTTATGCATCAAACCAATAATTCTGCACTTTCCAAGTTTGGGATATTTTCCATAATGAGCCAATGTGAGAAAAAGAAAAAAAATCTATTCAAAAATATATATATTTATATAAAAACGCATTTCTTTAGATTGGGGTGGGGGTTTTTTGCATGTGGAACACCTATAGTGGAGTTTTATCTTGGATCTTCCATTCCACACCACCGCAGGAAGCCATCCTAAGCCTGCATGCGAATTAATCCTTGAGAGGCGAGTACTGGAGGAGGCATTGTGTGCGCTAGCCCCGTGAAACGGGCTACCCCTTTGACAGAATGCCGCTGTGGCAACGTTCTACTCTCAACACTGTCAGCTGCAAGCTTATCACCCTTGATCAACTGCAAAGGACGTCACACTGCAAATCTCTTTAACTGCTGGACCTACAGCTTTTCAAAACCATTTCGCTTCAGGTCCTTTTTTTTTATGCACCATTGATTCAGAGAAGGAAAAAAATGGGGGGGGGGGAGATGATCCATGGGATTCTGCGTCTCTTTCCCAGTCCACTTTGCGCAGTGACCCACCTCGACGCTGCCGCTCTGAGAAAGAAGTCACAAGAAGCCCCTCCTGTTTCACGCAGATGGGAAGGGGGCTGCCGGCAAAGGTCTGCCATCCCTTCCGTCGCCCAAGCAGGTTTGGAAATGATTTGCCATCAGTTGTGTCATAGATTCATGCGCAAGTGCTCTGGTCGTTTGGAAATCATGGGGAAGGCTTGTTTTTTGTACGGCCCAGTGTTGGTTTGCCGGATGGGAAGCGGAGCTGAGGCCTCTCCGCTTACCGTCACGTCCATTTGTTCCATCCCGCTTGTCTCCATCGGATACTCCACAGGCGTCTGAGGGTTTGTCACGCTGGCAGAAGAACCTCGTCCCCAGAAGTCCCCCGGAGAGAATTTTACAGGGCTTCAAAGACAAGAAAGTTCCGTTACAGAGTTTACTTAATGTACTACACTGCCTGCTTCTGAATTCTAAACAGCAGAAGTATCAAGCACGACCACTTCAGTCGCTGGCTCCTGTTTCTTTTTTTTAGAGCTAGCTGCCACCAGAAGCTGTCAACGGAAGACTTCAGACTGACATGGAAAGCTGGGGTCAACCATCAGCAAGGCATTCTCAGCCTTGGTTCCACATTTTGTAAAATGAAACTAACAACCTATCTCAGAGGGGGAATCAGGAGGCTGCATAGGATCATTCCTGAAAATTATTTTACAGATGACAACCCTTTGTACCTATACAGAACTTCAAAAATGTTCAAAGCCCTACACGTAGGCTTCGAATTGCTTACACAAGTAGCAAAGGGAGATAACGGAGCAGACTGCACCCACCCATTCTGAAGGGGGTGGGGTCAAGACAGAGGAGTGCTCAAAATCCACCAACCTGTTAGATCAGGCCCCTTACAACCTAACCTATAAAGCAGATTAAAATGCCAGCCACTGGACTGCATTAGTCGATCAGCGGGAGGAAGGAAACTAATCTAGCAGAAGGCTAGACTGACATGCCTTACGTTCTTTTTCAGGGTTGTGATAAAAAAAATGCATTTGTTCTGTGAAATGTCGAACGCCTAATGCAGAAGGCAAGGAGAGCTCGATGGTACTACTGTTCTCTTTGCCCACAGCTCTCATACTGCAAAGTCAATTTAATCCCAAGTGGAAAGTGCAGAGGCATTGTAAGTAATAGCAGCATAAGAGCACTAATTTATTTTGGACAATTTAAGGTTTTGTGGCGGCAAAGGACATCTAACTGGAGAGGAACAGCCGAACATCGGTGTGTGTGTGTGGGGGGGTGAGAGTACCTGACTGGTGTCCGTGGGCTGCCGATGAATCTGCGAGGTGATCGGATTTTTGGTTCAAAGGAAAACTTTTCTTTTACACTTTCAAGTACGGAGGGAGCCACGTACGTAAAGCCCTGGAAGATAAGGAAAACAGTGGCTAAGCCCACCAGAAAGAACACCCTTGGTAATGTCCCAAACCCTGAAACCCAGTGCCGACCCCCATTTCTCCCTGTGGCCCCCCCCCCACATGATAAACTACTCACACAGAAGTGTCGAATCCATCCTTTGTTACTAAGGGGAAATTAACTTACACCAGACTGCCCAACACCAGGTCAGATCTGAGCTTGCCTAGCCGGTACCGTTTATGACTGGCAGCAGCTTACCACAGACTCAGAGAGAGGGGCTGTCACAGCCGGAGATTGAACCTAGGGAGCCGCAGGTTGAACCTAGGGCCTCCCGCACACCAAGAACTCCCCTCTGCTGCCGATACGCGGGCCTTTAGAAAAATCTAATAGGAGATAAGAAGGCTGGATCAAGCCACATTTTCTGAGAGTGAAAAAAGAATGAGGGATCACCTTTGACCACCCAAAACTGAGCTGAGCTGAGAACTGCAGGATCTAAGTGGACAAAAGCCATACCAGGATGGGTACTGTATTAAGGGGAGGGGGACTGGGAGAGTATGAAAAGGCTGGCTGGAAAAGGACACACATAACACAGCCAGCGTTTTCATGCTCTCCCCGTTCCCCTCTTAGCTTCTTATTCCAGCTGAACTAGAAGCGACCACTCACCCCCCCATGAATATTATGGCTTTGTTTCCCCATAGGTTGATAGCAGCCCCAGAGCAAGAGACCGAGGGCATGCCTTTGCGGGGGGAGGGGGGGGGGAGTCCCACCTTTAATCTTCAACTGCCTCATCTTAGTGGATTTCAGGCAGAAGGTGTTGGAGGAAAAAAAACTGTCTCTCTGAGACACTGGAGAGCATTGTGGACAGTACTGGGCCAAACTGACCAAAGGCTTCATTCAACAGAAGACAGCCCCATATGTACTTATCAGGGGTCATTTCATAGAAAAAGAGGTGCAGGAGCTCATTAGCATAACTTATTTGCATATGCCACACCCCTTGACATCTCCCTTCCCTTCAACTCCAAGCGGGGCAAAGGAAAAGGGGGGGGGGGAATCTCAGGCACTTCTGCCTGACAGAAGCAGGCCAGGGAAGGCCGTGTGGGGGTGGGGGGACCCTCTCTGCAGAGCTTCCCCGACTCATCTGCTTCGGCGGTCGGGCAGGGAAGGCACGGGGAGGCATTTAAATGCCTCCCTGCTCCTTGCAGGGCCTTCCACAGCTTGCCCACCTCGGCGGGTGGGCCAGGGAAGGCCAGGGGGGAGGCGCTCTCTGCAGGCTCCCACCCACTGGACCTGAAACAAGCCCCTACCCCCTACACCCCCACCAACTTACCCTGCCTTCTGGCTGGTGGCGGCGGTGATGGCAAGCAGAGGCAACACATACCACTTCCCGCTCCTCCTGGCCTGACTGAGGGCTGCTGGGGGCGGGGCTTGCCATCACATGTGCCCGCTCCTGGGCTTGTTATTGCTGGAACGCCGTCCCGGCTCATTCCGGCTAGAAATGACCCCTGGAACTTATGCAAGTGTGTGTGTGTGTTTGTGTGTGTGTGTATTCACACGCATAACAGATGAATGGCATGACTGATGACTACAACAATGAGGTCCTGGCAATTTATTCTTCAGTGGTGGCTTCCCCCCTTCCTCGATGCGACCTTCCCAGAAAGTTAGTTGCTGATTGGATGTGTGACACACAGGCAGCAACCAAAATGCAAAGCAGGGAGATTGAAAGAACAGAAGATGAATGTCAACACGCTTTGTAGCAAAGGGAAGCAGGGAGAGCTGGAACTGCTGGGAACTTGTTTTGTTTACTTGATTTATGCCCTGCCTTTCTTACACAGATTCCAGCAAAAAACAAGTGTAGCAAAGAGAGGCTCTCTATAGGATATTCAAGCATAGGACAGGGCTTTCTGGCAAGCACTGCAGGCGCCAGAAGGAAGGGTACAGATCCTGCTGGCTCTCTGCACTCCAGCACAAGAGTTCATGCTCACTTACCAGGAAGACCTGGTTGGCACTTTCACTGAGAGTTGAGTCATCGGGGCTATCGACGGGAGTCTGACGAGTGAACTTTGCATCAAATTGGCTCACATCCTCTTCGGATTGCTTTGCGAAGGCAAAAAAGGAATAAAGGTTTATATACAGACGATCAACTTAAAACAGCTCTGGCAGAAGGAGCATGAAATGCTCGGCAGGGGAAAACCCCTGGAGCCGCACAGGAGTCCTACTGCCACCAGGGAAAGCTCACTTTACCCAAATGCACTGAAAAATAAAGCCCCCCGGGGGGGATCAGATCAAAAGCAAAGGAACCTAGTTAAAAGGATAACTTAAGGACAAAAACAAGAGAGACTTTTTGATAACTCTTATTCAGCTTATGGGTTATACATAGGTCAGGATGTCACACTTGCCACCTTTCTTGTCTTTTAAAATCCATAGAGTCATGACCACCTCACACTTCAGGTCCTCTCACTCCCAGAAACAACCACAGACAGGTTAGCCCAGCACCCTTTAATAATCAGCCCTCACTCACACAGAGCCACTGGGGCTGAATTCAAACACTGCTCCAATCAGTCATTGCCACCATTCATTTATATCGTATAACATATGTATGTAGACTGAGATATTAAATTGTGTGTGTGCTTCTTCCCCTTAGAGATGCAGCCCACAGGGTTAATCAAAGCAAGAAGCTTATTTATAAGAACAAAACACTGAGGAAGGTAAAGTCTAAGAAACGTTTCACTTCCACTGAACTTTTGAAAAACAGGTTGCTTACCTGTATCTGGTGATCTTCGAGTGGTCATCTGTGCATTCACACCCATGGGATCTAGTGCGCACGCGCTGGATCAGTGCTGTAGCAAGCTCTTTTAACGGATTTTTGCGCCCAGACGGCAGGCATGCGCAGGAACCCCACCGCGCATGCCCGGGGGCGGGGCGGACATCCCGCCAGTATCTTTTTTACCGTCGCAAATCAACCTCTATTGAAAGCGTAGAAGCTGATAGCAGCGGGAAAGGAGGGTGGGTGGTGTGAATGCACAGATGACCACTTGAAGATCACCAGTTACAGGTAAGCAACCTGTTTTATCTTCGACGTGGTCTCTGTGCTTCACACCCATGGGAGATTAGCGACTAGTGACCTACCTGAAGGAGGGTGCTGGCAGGTCCTTTACTGCGTAGCCGAAGATAGAATGCAACATCCCATGTTGGTATTGATGTTATTACGGACATCTAGGGCATAGTGCCTGAGAAAGGTGTTAGGCGTAGCCCATGTAGCGGCTTTGGAAATGTCCGTCAGGGGCACTCCCTGGAGGAAGGCAGTGGAAGCTGCAACAGCCCGGGTTGAATGGGTCCTGATGGGGCCAGGCAACGGCTGTTTGGCAATCAGGTAGCAGAGGTGGATGAGACCCGCAATCCACTTTGAGAGGCGTTGAGCCAAGATGCGAGTCCCCAGCCTCGCTAGTGCGTAAGAGATGAACAGTTGGGAGTCTAGTCACGTTGGGCGTGTTCTATTGAGGTAGAACAGGAGAGCCCGCTTCACATCCAAAGTGTGTAAGAGTCTGTCCTCTGCGGACGTTGGAGTTGGGAAGAAATCCGGGAGAAAGACCTCCACTTGCAGGTGGAACTCTGACACCACCTACGGCAGGAAATGTCCGGTACGAGGCGAACTCCGTCTGGCAAAAACGACAGGTAAGGTGTATCGTGTCGGAAATCCAATATTTCTCCCACTTGCCTAGCCGAGGTGACAGCGATTAAAAAGGCCTTTTTCCATGCTAGAAGTTTGAGGTCGCATGTTGCGAGCGGCTCAAAGGGCTTCCTCGTGAGCTGGCGGTGAACTAGAGGAAGGTCCCAGGGAACAACAGGAGTTTTGAGAGGAGGGTAGAGATGTAATAAACCTTTTAAAAAACATTTTGAAAGCGGATGGGAAAACAGTGTGCATCCGTCAACTTGAACATGGTAGGCCGAAAGGGCGGCCAAATAAACATGTAACAATGAGTGGGAAAGTCCCGAGTCAGCTAGGGAGAGGAGGAATTGGAAAACTCTTTCGAGACCCACGGAGGTGGCTCGAGGGGCATCACCTAAGGAAGAGCAGAACCTTCGCCATTTATAATTGTAGGACCTCCGCGTAGTAGGTTTCCTGGGATTCAACAGAACGTTCGCTACGCGGGTGGAAAAACCATGCTGTCAATTTCAATTGTAGTATGCCGTGATGTAGGAGAGGGGAGTCGGACAGGAGGAGGAGGTCCTGAGCCGGAGGAAATTGATGGTATATTCCTGTTGATAACTCGAGGACTGTCGAAAACCGTGGTTGCCTTGGCCACCATGGGGTTATTAATATGCAGTCCGCGCCGTCTCTGAGTATTCTGCGGACCACTCTCAGAAGCAGAGGTAAGGGAGGAAACAGGTACAGAAGCCCCATGGACCAAGGGTAAAGGAGACCGTCTCCCAGAGACTGTGGGTCCCTGCCTCCCCAACTACAGAACAGAGGACACCTTTTGTTGGCTCTGGTAGCAAAAACATCGACTTGGGGAGTTCCCCACCTGCGGAAGAGTGGGAGGAGGTATGCTGGGTTCATCTCCCACTCGTGAAGGCTGAGTCCTGCTCGACTTAGATGGTCTGCCTTGCACGTTCATGTGTCCAGGGATGTGTGTGGCTACGAGGAAAATGTTGTTGGTGATGCAGAGGTTCCATAATTGGATGGCAAGGTTGCAGAGGCATAGGGAAACAGTGCCTCCCTGCTTGTTGACATAAGAGAGCGCCGTGGTGTTGTCCGTGAGGACCGTGACACATTTCCCCCTGATTATAGGTAGGAAGCTGGTGACAGCATGTTGTATTGCCAGCAGTTCCAGGAAGTTTATGTGTCGCTTCCTCTTCTGTGTGTCCCATTTGTCCCCAACAGAAAGGCCCATGGTGTGCGCACCCCATCCCGTCAGGGAAGCATCTGTCGTTATGGTGATTTGGGGTGACAGCGGATGGAAGGGTGCTCCTTGGAAAAGATTGGAGGGAACAGTCCACCAAAGTAGGGACTCTCGTATGTTGGAAGGGGGGGTTAGGACGGTGGTATGTGCGTTCTTCGAAGTATCGAAGTTGCGAATGAACCACAGTTGTAGATGTCGCATTTTTAGTTTTGCGAAGACCAGGACCGATGTAGTCGCGGCCATAAGGCCGAGTAGCCTCTGTATCTGGAAGGCCATGAGCAAGGGTTGGGTACGAACGACGGTGGCTAAGTGGACAATGTCAGCCGCCTGTCAGGACCCACAGCAAACAATGAAGTACACACTTCTTAGGAAGGTTTTACTTTTATTGAAAGCTATAGATGCAGTAACACGAGCACTGTTAGGAATGGCGAGTGATCTATGCACATAAAAGGTTATAGGGCATTTGTATAGTGACCACCCAATTACAGGGGTTCCCGCGCACGGCATTAGGCTGAGAACTAACAGCTGCAAAAGCAAAACAGGTAAACGCTTTTCACGACTCATCCTGTGTAAAGACAAAGCAACTCCTCCAGCGGCCTTGAGAGATATGCGTTGCGGCGAAGAGGCAATTAAGCGCAAGGGAAAGAATGCACATGAAAGGGAAACATATTATACTCTTGGCAGCTTGCTGACACCGCCCTGTTCTGGGGCAGGTAAGCCATGCATGTCTTGGAATCCAGTAGGGCACCGATGTATTGTATCTGCTGGGCCGATTGCAACTGAGATTTCTGGGGATTGATTTGTAAGCCCAGATCTTTCAAGAGTACCATTGTCTCGATGTTTGAGACTAGAGTGTCTTTGGAGGACGCCACTAGGAGCCAATTGTCTATGTATGGGTAGATGGAGATGCCCTTGAGACGGAGGAAGGCCGCCACCACAATCAGAGTCTTTGTGAAGAATCTTGGGGCGCTTGAAAGGCCGAATGGTAGGGCCGGATATTGGTAATGGTGTTGACCAATTGCGAAGCGCCGGTATTGGCGGTGGGAGGGGTGGATAGTGATGTGGAAGTATGCGTCTTGGAGGTCGAGGGTGGCCATCCAGACGTTTCTCCGAGGCAGTGGCATAATCTGCTGCAAGGACACCATGCGGAAGCGGTGGTAGGTGACATAACAGTTCTGGTCCCTCAGATCTAAAATGGGCCGAACGCCCCCATCCCGCTTTGGGACTGTGAAGTATCGGGAATAAAATCCCGTCCCTTGGAGGTGTGGTGGTACCCTCTTGATGGCTTCCTTCTGCAGGAGGACGGACACCTTTTCTAGGAGAGGTGGGGAAGGGGGTGTGGTGATGACTACTGGAGTGATTGGGTTCTGGTTGAATTGAATACGGTAGCCCTGAGTTACAATGGACAGCACCCATTGGTCCGAGGTGATGCCAGGCATAAAGGAAAGGTGACAGACGTGTTTGAACTGACTCGGTAGGAGGGAAGTCAAAAGCCCTGCTTGGAGAACCCTTGGTTGTTTGGTGCGTGAGGGTTGTTGTCCAGTTCTGAACTTAGGTTTCTGAAAGGCGGGTCTTTGACCACTGGAAGTTGTAGGTGGCCTCCATTGCCTATCCGGAGACTGACAATTTGGAGTGCGTCTCTGCCAGGGCCTAGACCAGGTGCGAGAGCGATATTGTTGCCTCGTGGAGGGTGACACCCCGAGAGCGCGAGAGGCCTTTATGTTCTTATCTATATCCTGGAGCATGGTATCGGTCATGCTGTTAAAAAGACTGAGGCCATTAAAAGAGAGGTCTTCGACATATGACCTAGTATCTTGAGGAAGATTGGTATTGCGGAGCTAGGAGTGTCTCCTCAGAGCGATAGCTGAGGCCATTGTTCTGGAGGAAGCATCTAAAGCATGTTTGGACGTGTTGAGCTGCTGCTTCGCAAGGACCATGCCTTCCTTTTGAATAACCCTGGCCGCTTGAAGCTTGTCTTCCGGGAAGTGGGTTAGGAGGTCAGAGATTCTTTCCCATAGAGTATATTGATATCTGCTCATGCAGGCTAGGTAGTTAGTGGTTTTGACCCCTAACGCACCCGTGGAGTAGAAGCGTCTCCCGAATGTGTCTAATTTCCTACTTTCCCTGTCAGAGGGTGCCGAGTGTGTTCGTTTAGACTTGGACGAGGATGTTACGACTACCGAATTTGGTTGAGGGTGGGAAAATAAAAATTCGGCACCTGTCTCCTGGACTCTGTACATATGGTCCAGACGCCTCGTCGACACCAGGGCTGAAGACAGCTTTTCCCATGGAGTCTTGATAGCTTGCAAGAGGACTGCGGACATGGGGAGTGCAATGGTAGAGGTATCTAGTTGCACAATATCAAAAACAGGATCAGTAACCTGTGGCTGTTGTTGTACCACAGAGAGGCCTAGAGAATGGGCCATTTGTTTGACAAGGTCTGTATAAGAAGTGAGATTGTCGGATGGCGATATAGGGAGGTCCTCTGTGGCCGCTTGGTTCGGTGACTTGTGGTCAGGGGAGGTTTGGATCTCCGAAGCCTCTGAGTCAGATTCGTTGTCTCCGGAATCAGAGCATCCCTGTTCTGGTATTTGTATCGGAGTAACTTCCGGTTGACTAGTCAAAACTTTTGGTGGAACAACGGGGGGGTGGGGGGTGGAAGAACCCAGAGGTTCCGTTTGGTGGTAAGAAGCATCTTTAGGCGGAGGTCGAGACCGCGTTGCTGAAGGTCTCGATTTATAGGGTGACCTTGATCTGTGTGCAGAGTAGGTCGAATAGCGATCCCAGTCAGAATAGCCCGCTTTCAGGCGTGCTGTTCGGTTTTTTCGTGTTTGATTTGAAAATCTTGCACAGTGCTGGCACGAGTCAGGTCTGGGAGACTCTCCCAAACAAAAATACAGAGGGTGTGGCGGTCGAGCAGAGCAAGTTTACTACCGCAACGTTGACACCGGTTAAAAAAGCTCCACTTTTTCTCCATAGAACAACAAAATAGTGGAGAAAAAAGGGGGGGGGGTAAAGCCCGAAGGCCGGCTGAGGTAAACAGAACTTTCCCCCATCAGGAAAATAAAGTTGTTTTTTTTTAAAAAAAAAATTGTAGGTAGCGAAGGAGTAACACAAAAAAGGACGAGGAAGCCGTGAGGCAAAAAGCCAAACTAACGAACCGATCAGACCGACGGAGAAAAGGTCTTTCCAATGCGGCGGTAAGAAAGGAACTGGCGGGATGTCCGCGCCCTCCCCTCTTGGCATGCGCGGTGGGGTTCCTGCGCATGCCCGAGGTCTGGGCGCGAAAATCCGTTAAAAGAGCTTGCTACAGCGCACTAGATCCCATGGGTGTTGAAGCACAGAAACCACGTTGAAGATCTGAGTTTCTATACCTACAAGTGGGATCCTTTAGTTACAAATTTACTATTATCAGCTTTTTCCGAACTGCTCTTCTATACAGTTCCCCTCAGCCATAAAATCCCTTTTCACCTCAGCCCTTAAGCTATCAGCTTCTCTCTCTGCTACTAAGTCTTAAACTGTTATTTTTTAACTGCTGTTTTCAAATCTCCTTCTCTCAACCTTCCATCTGCTCTCATTGGTTGCTTTGAGAGAGAGGCAGAACCCAGTCTGTCCATCACATCTGATTAACAGGCAGACCCATCAATGAGCTGCCCTGACATCAGAGAAAACTTGTAAGTGGCTTGCTTTGACCTTCAACAATACATTTGTTTCTTCTCTGTGTCCAAGAGATTCAAACCTGCACAGAGGCAACCGAGCAGCACCTGTGCCTTCTTTAGGAGCGGAACACTCATCTTAACCAGTCTGATATAGTAGTGAGAGTTCCAGAGCACAACCAGGAGACCAAGGTTCCAATTTCCACTCTGGCATGAAGTTCACTGGGTGGGTGACCTTGGGCCATTTACACACACACAATCTCGGTCTCTCTCAGCTTAATTAAACCATCATCACAGGATTGTTGTTAGGATAAAACAGGAGGAAGGGACAGTGCATATTGCCCTGTGCTCCTGGAAGAAAAGGGCAGGATAAAAAGTAAATACACACAAAATTCCATTTCAAAATAATTCAAAGAATAGCAAGAAAACTCATTTGTTTTAGTATAGGATGTGGCACCTGATTTCATGCAAAAATCCAGAGGATATGACCCCCCCACACACACACACCTGATTAAGACAAGCAATATCACCATTTCACAACAGCTAAAATTATACAGCGAGTTGTGTCCTGATACTGGAGCAAAGAGGAAGCAGTACATACCAGTAATGGTTTAAATGGGGGCTCCACCTTCCGAGCCAGCAGCTCTTCCCAGTTGATGTGTCTGAAGAATGGATGAGCCTAAGAAACATTATCGGGGCAGTCAAGACCCCCAAACCAGGTTAGCAAACTGTTCTTTTCGTCTCCGAGCAGAACAATGTGAGGCAATCTGTTCACTGTGCTAAACGCAGAGGAACTAAAATATAAAGCAACCCACGAATTAAAAAAAGAAAAAGAAAACACAACACATCCATTTTTAATTCTCAGTTTCTTAAAGCTGAGATGGAAGGCATAGGACTTTATTCTACGAAACGTGTGTAGGACGTTGGGAAGGGGTCACACAGCAAACTTAAAGAGGGTCTAGAGTCATAACCCCATTTCCCCATCTATAAAAACAGCTCTGTGAAAAGGCCAGGAATCCACACAGGCAAGGTTTAGGGGGTGGCCAATGGTAAAGTTGCTAAACTAATGAAGAGTCAGTACATGCTGGACACAGGGCCCCCCCGCCTGCTTGAAAGAGCAAGTTCATAACTGTTGCTGCCCCCATGGCGCCTTTAATCAGGCTGTTCCCTGAAAGGCATGATTTAGCCATGCTCCGATCACATCCAGTTAGATTACTGCAACGTGCTTTGCCCGAGGCTGCCTCAGACTGCCCAGACTCTTCTGAGTTTAAAATACGTTGGCCAGGTTGCTGTCGAGGGCTGGATGCAGGGATCATGTCACTCCTGTGCTGAAGGAGTTGCACTGCTTCCTGTCAATTACCAGGCACAATTCAAAATGTTGGGGGCTACTTTTAAGGCCTTAAGGTTAAGGACCAGGGTAGCTGAAGGACCATCTCCTCTCATACACTGCAGCTTGCCAGTTAAGGTACTACTCCTGGTGCCTCTGGCCACAAAAGTGAGGTGAGTTTAACTAGAGACGTGGCCTTTGCAGTGGTGGCACCCTGCCCACGGAATCCATTCTTGCTTGAAGCTCGCCTGGCACCTGCATTACTGGCTTTTAGGTGCCATGCCAAAATGTTTTTGTTCACCTGGGCTTTTAATGGAATTTTACCTCATTTCCCCATCCTCTTCCTACCCCTTCTGCCTACCTGTGATTTTATACTACTGGTTTTCCCGGGTGCTCTTTAGCTTGGTTAGTTTATCGAGCTATTCTGTCATATTTTAAACCCTTTACATAAATAAACGTAGTTGGCCTCTTGACTGTGGACTGCAAGACATGACCCCGACGCCACCCCTGTTCTTTAAAAAAACCCCACAATGCTCACATCTGATTCTGCCAACAGTGGAAAGGAAAGCATACCTGAACTTCTCCAGCATCTCCAGGACCAGCTCCTAGGCGTGAGGCAGCATTTCTCTTTAGCAGCTTAGGAGAAAGAAAAGACAGTTGAGAGAAATTAAGGGCAGGAGGTTGTAATAAGGGGGTTCCTTGGCAACTGTTCTCCAGAGCGTCTGGCCAAAGTACTTCCCAGTCCAGTCATGCCAAAGACTGTGCTGGGCAGTGTTCCCTCTGAGTTAGTGTGAGCTGGCTCAGAGTTTTTTAGCCTCCGGCTCACACATTTTTGTCTTTGCTCAGGAAGGATGGCTCCAGAGCAAACTAATTTATGCAGTAGCCAAATGGCTCGCTCACAACTTTAATGCCAGTAGCTCACAAAGAAGGATTTTTGCTCACAAGACTCCACGACTTAGAAGGAGAATTGGGGCCGGGCACCTTCTCCTTCTAACTCAAGTGCTTTAACTCTGAAGCTCTTTTTTAAAAAAAATGTATTGTATTTTCAAACATGTAACAAGTCTCATATTGATATTACAGAACAGGTTAGTTTCCCATCAACTATGCTTAGACTAAATACAATTTATATCTATTCAGTATTTTGAAGCAAAAGAGGAGGAAAGAGATGCTGCCTTGGCATTTATGATTTTGTCTCTTTTTAGGCTTCAGTCAAGGTCATCATAATTCTTTATATAAAAACGTTTGCAGAAGAGCCAAATGTTTTGGATCAGCTCCACATGCTGCAGTCTTCCCTCTCAGAATTAGCTCCCCGTAAGGTCAGTTTCTACAGTCAGCTCTCAGCTTGGGCCAGCTAAACCTACTGGAGGGCACTGCTGTCCACTACATTTTTTCCTGAAGGACTTCGAGAAGCATCATGACAGGTCTCTCGGGAGACCCTGGTCTAATGCAAATGAAGTATCTAGGCCCCAACAGCCCAGTTTCTGTTCTAATAAAGGCAGACGTTTCCAGCACTTGAAACCTAACTTGCAGTGCCAATAGATTCCTTATTTTTTTGCAAATCAGGGCATAATAACTTTGGAAATGGTACTCACCCCCCCCCCAATACAACACTTACCTTTTTAAGCAGATCTCTGGCTTCTTGCGTGAGGTAGGGAGGCAAGTTGAGTTTACACTTGAGGATTTTGTCTATCGTTTTCTTCCGATTCTCCCCAGTGAATGGGGGCTGGAGGACGCCATTGGAATGCAGGGGGAAAGGGGAAGGAAGTCATTAGGAAGTGTGTGTAATGGAACACAATTTCCTCATAAGTACACCCTCTTAATATTGTAGCAGTTTGGTGAAGACAGCCAGTTTGGTGTAGTGGTTAAGTGAGCGGACTCTAATCTGGGAGAACCGGGTTTGATTCCCCACTCCTCCACTTGCACTTGCTGGATGACCTTGGGCAAGCCATAGTTCTGGCACAGCTATTCTTGAAAAAGCAGAGCTCTCTCAGCCCCACCTCCCTCACAGGGTGTCTGTTGTGGGGAGGGGAAGGGAAAGGAGATTGTAAGCCACTCTGAGACTACTCAGGGTAGCAAAGGGCGGGGTATAAATCCAATCTCTTCTCTCTTCTCCTAGCACGCCCACAACTTATAAGTGCAACTTTCTAATCACTTATGTAAAGGGCCTCAATGCACAACTTTGCAAGAAGCATGAGTTTGTTTGTTTTTTAGTTCCATCCCTGGGGTGCGAGGCAAATGGACCAAGCACTATCCCTGCACATAAGGAACACAAGTTTAAATCAGCTTTCGGCCACAGAGCTCATACAACTGGTGTGGACAAGTCATTTATCTGCCACACAGTTAGGCCAGTCAATAAAACAGAACAGAAAACTCTGGAGCTGACAACACTGCACGTGTTTTTTGAACGACACGTTCCTGGGAAAAGGAGGCGACAGATGCAGGAAATTCGTTTCTGACAGCAGAGCAAGAACTGTGGGACTGGTCTGCATACTGCAAACACAATGCGATTTACCACAGATTTTTCTGAGCCGTGGGCACAAAACTTAAAAGTTCTCCCCCACCCCCAACAAGATCATACTGCTCAGGTCGTTTCCATCTACCCTTAATCCACTCAATGTGAGCCAACCCAGGAGATGCCATGAAGGATTAAATAACGGAAGGGAAGAGCTGTGGGTCAATGTTATGTGCTCTGAGGTCAGGGACAAGGGGCGGCACTAGGGGAGAGGGTTTCACCACCATACCCACTGGTATGTGGAGTCTCTCAGGTGGCTATCTTCTCCCCAATGTTATTTAACATCTTTATGCGCCCCCTTGCCCAGCTGGCGCGGGATCACGGGCTGGGTTGTCACCTGTATGCCGATGACACCGAGCCCTATCTGCTGATGAGTGGCCGGCTGGAGGCTGCCCCAGAACAGAGGTCTGGAGGCCACAATTGGTTGGTTAAAACAGAACAGGTAGAAACGAAACCCAGCGAAGACAGAGGTCCTGTGGCTGGGTCGGGAGGGGGCGCTGGGATGGGTTGCCAACTCCCCTCTCTTGACAGGGTGCTGTTGACAGCATCCAGAGCTTGAGAGTGATCCTGGATGCCTCCCTTTCAATAGAGGCCCACATCACTCAGGTGGTTAAACCTGGCTTTTTACCATCTCCGCCAGGTTAAGCAGTTGGCCCCGTGCCTTGTCGTGCTCCGATCCAGCCATGGTGATCCATGCAATGGTCACCTCTAGGCTAGATTACTGTAACTCACTCTACGTTGGGCTTCCTTTGAGGTTGGTCTGGAAAATGCAACTGGTCCAGAATGCAGCTGTGAAGGTTCTAACAGGAACACCCTTTAGAGCACATATCAGCTGCACTGGCTCCAGATCGAAGACCGGATCAAGTTCAAGGTTCTGGTGTTGACCTTTAAAGCACTTAACAGTCAGGGACCAGCATACCCATGGGACCGCCTGTCTGGGCACATCTCCCCAGTAGAGTGTTACGCTCAAGTGATCAAAATCTACTGGTGGTCCCTGGCCCAAAGAGTGTCCTGCTGTCCTCGGCCAGGGCCTTTTCGGCCCTGGCTCCAGCCTGGCGGAACTCTCTCCCAGGAGAGATGAGGGCCCTGCAGGATCTGGTACAATTCTGCAGGGCCTGCAAAACTAGAGCTGTTCTGCTGGGCCTACGGTTGAGGGCAGTACCGGACCTCCAGCCGAGAAGGGGCCTCTCCCCCCCCCTTCTATGTATACTGTATATTGCCCCTGTGTGAATTTTCACACCATCTTAAATTTGATAGTAACTGTCTTACAGATTTTTGTACTTGTTGTTTTTTAGAAGGCTTTAAATTGTATATTTATACATTGTTGTCACCCGCTCTGAGCCGGTTCTGGGGAGAGCGGGTTATAAATCAAATCAATCAATTAAATAAATAAATAGAAAGCCCTGAGTTCAACCCCTGGCATATCCAGTTAATGGGGCTGGCAAAGAACTTTCTCTGCCTGAGACCTGGGGAGAAGAGTAAACGGTATTGCGGTAGATGGATCAGTGATCTGACCCAGCACAGGGCAGGTTCCAGGGATGACAACACCCTTCCATTGCAATGCCTTTCACGGCCCTGATCAACAGGCTTTCCAAGTTTCCCCAGCCTGCTGGCCCCCAAGCCCTGCCAAAGGCTGGTGTTGGCCTCTTAACCCTAGCCACGCTTAACACTGATAAGACAGAGTCCCACACAGGCAAGATGGGTTCCAATACAATACTCTGTAAGCAGCATGAAATAAAAGCGCATGAAGTTTTTAAGTGTGCACCTACTGCTCCAGTCAGCATGTCATACATTAACGCCCCCAAACTCCACCAGTCCACAGCACGATTGTGCCCGCTCCTCATCAAAATTTCAGGGGCCCTGGAATGACAAACAGGAAGGATGGAAGCATTCTGCACAGCAGGTAACAGTTAGCATTCACTCATTCGATAAGAAAATGCTACGGACAGAAATCAGCATGCCGGAGGAAGCTTTTCATCAAGGCAGGCTTGTGATTAGACGTCTGCCTGATCGCCCTGTGGTGAATAAGCGTCTTTGCAAACCAGAAGAGAGTTGATCCTCTCCTTCCCAGCGATGGGCTACAAATGACTAACAGGCAGAGTCAGGCTGGCTATGAACTTTGGTAGGAAAGTAATTGGCTCGAGAATTTATTTACAGAAGCTCCTCTGACAGTCTCTCTCCACCCACTTTCAAATATAGACAACTTATACGAAATCCTGTCCCTTAGGGATCCCTCTGCCAAGTGTCAAACTCTGCCATTTGCCCTGCAGACAGGCAAGGCTAAAACTCGGAACACCTAGCCACCAAGTTTCAAAAAGGTAAAATTTAGCCATTACCCCCAAACCAGAGTAATACTTTTCTGTTTCATCATGCGGGCTCACATGTATTCTATTGTTCCACAGAATGTATGTGTGACAGTTCCATCGTGAATGGACTCTTTACATAGTCCAAAATCAGTGAGCTTAACGTGACCTAAAAGAAAACAAAAAGAAGAAGGGAAGGGCAGAGGGACACAGAAGCGTCATTCCAACAGTGCAGGAAGCTTCAGGCAACCATCATCACACAAATATATTTGGATATTTGGCTATTTCATTTATAACCCACTTTTCAACTCAGGTATTCCCAAAGCAGCAAACAATATATAGCCAGATCATTTCCTGCAGGAGCACACAGGAGCGGAGCTCCGGCAATAAAGAGCCCAGGGGGTGGGCACATGCAACAAGCCCCGCCCCCTGCTCCCAGCAGCCCCAGGCCACAAGGAGCAAGAAGCAGCGCAGCCAGGTAAGTGGCAGAGCCCCCCCCCCCCCGAGATAGCAATCCAAAACAGTCCAGTGGCACCTTTAAGGCCAAGGTTTATTCAGGTACATGTTTTCCCTCCTCTATGAGGGCAGATCTGCACATTCCCCCCCCCCAAATAGCTAGCAATCCACAACAGTCCAGTGGTGCCTTCTGACACTTCCGGTGATGTCAGGGGGTGTGGCATATGCGGATAAGTTATGCTAATGAGATATGCTAATGAGCTCATGCACCTCTTTTACTACAAAATGACCCCTGTAATATAGCTAATTATGAAGAGCTAGATTTAAATCTAGTAGCACCGTAGAGATCAAGATTTCAGGGGTATAAATTCTTGAAAGTCTAAGCTCCTTTTGTCAGCTATTTAAAAAGGACTTTCCTAATGAGAACTTAGTAGCATGTATAGCCCTGACTAGTCCAATATCATCGGAGCTTGGAAGCTAAGCAGGTTTGACCATGGATTCAGATGGGTGGCTGTGTTGGTCTGAAGCAGTAGAAAAAAGTTTGAGTCCAGTGACACCTTTAAGACAAACAAAATTTTATTCTGGGTAAAAGCTTTCATATGTGCATATGTCCGAAGAAGTGTCCGTGCACACGAAAGCTTATGCCCAAAATAAAACTTTGTTGTTCTTAATGGTGCCACTGGACTCAAACTTTGTTCTACAGCTTTAGACCGACACAGCCATGATTAATAGTTGGATGGGAGATGCACCAAGGAAGTCCAGGGTTGCTATGCAGAGGCAGGCAATGACAAACCACCTCTGTGCATCTCTTGCTTTGAACACCCCATGGTCTTTGGAGTCGTCATGAATCAGCTGAGACATGACGGCACACAGTTATAACTGTAAGACAAACCTAAGAGCAGCTAGGTCAGATCAGAGCAATTGCCCATCTAGCCCAGCATCCTACTTCCAACAGTGGCTACTCAAATGCCACTGGGATGCCCACAAGCACAGCCTGCAAACAGCCCTCACCTGCTGACTGCTCACCAGCACTTGATAATCAGGCCTTCTGCCTCTGAGCCTGGAGAACCCATTCAGCTGTCAAGGCTAACAGCCAATCATAGATTAATCCTCCAGAAATCTGTGCAACACCTTCCAAGACCATCTAAGCCAATGGCCATCACATCTCTTCTTGTGGCACTGAGTTTTTTGTGTTTACTACTTGTTGTGTGAAATGACACTTTTTGCTTGCCTTGAGCCTACCAGACATTTCATAGGGGGATCCCAAATAGGGGTGTGCATTCGGCTATGGCCGAACCGAAAAAATACCTTGTCGGTATTTTTCGGGAATCACATAAGCCGAATGTGGGTCACAGTTCTGTATTCAGCTACCAATATAGCTGAACCCGAAAAAGCCGTAATTATCCGGCTTTTTGGGGGTTCATTTTGCTATACAAAAAAGGTCTCATTAAACCTAACAGCCAGTAAGCTGTTGAGTTTAAATGCCTTTCCCTCCCCGATCCCGCGCACAAGCTGAGGCGTGCAGGCTGGGGAGACTGAGGGCAGCCAGGCAAACATGCCCCCTTCCTTCCCTGGGCCTCTACGCTTTTGTGGAGAAGCCCAGGGAAGGGGGCGGGGGCCATGTTTAAATGCCTTTCTTTCCCTCCCTGATCTCGTGTTACACTGATGATATTTTTATTGTCTGGACACATGGTAAAGAAACCCTGGACACATTCCACCAGACATTCAATGATTTTCACCCCACCATCAACCTGACAATGAACCAATCCATGCAAGAAATACATTTTCTGAACACTACTGTAAAAGTACACAATGGACGCATAGACACCACCTTATACTGGAAACCTACCGACCAACATACAACACACCTTTTTGGAACTAAGGTATCCACTTGATGAAGTAAGGAAACAGATTACCAAAGCCAGAGTGATACCCAGAGAAACCCTGTTACAAGACTGGCCCAAAAGAGACAATAATAGAACACCACTAGGGGTCACATACAGCTTTCAGCTCAGAACAGTTCAATACATCGTCAATTACTGACAACCTCTACTGGATAACGACAGTTCTCTTTCACAAGTACTGGGGCAAACCTTTTCTTGTGCACAGACAGCTCCTTTGTCTCAAACAACTCCTCACCCACAATAATGCAACGTCTAATTTGAACATAGATACTGAGACCAGAGCTTGCAATAAACCCCGATGCCAACTTTGCTGCCACATACATCCAGACAACACAATCACTGGACCTCACAACATCAACTACACCATCAGAGGCTCATTCCGCAGGGCCTGTAAGACGGCGCTCTTCCACCAGGCTTTCAACTAGGAGCCGCCCGCCACCATTACCACCGTTAACCATTGTCATTACCAACATCTATGACAAAGGTGGCCCTGTATGGAGAACAAGCCCTATCATTGCAGGAGGCCGGGATACCGCTGAATTGGGGTTTTAGAACTATACACCATCTTAATTTACTTAAGGGACTATTACTATCCCGAGCACTTTAAAGTATGAATTGTCTATTGCTTGGTTATTTTAACTTGTTTTTAAGTGTTTTATTGTGATTTGGCACATGGTGCCGATAAATGTAAGCCGCCCTGAGCCCGTCCACAGGGAGGGTGGGATATAAATATAATAATAAATTAATAAATAAATTCACTTGCTCATCTTCTAACATTGTATATCCCATTAAATGCCTTTGGTTCTCTACATTGGACCAACAGGACAAACCCTATGTCAGAGGATAAATGGACATGAATCTGACATCGGGAATCACAAGACTGAGAAACCTGTAGGACAACAGCCTTCCAGGACATTCACTGAATGACCTCAAAGTAGCTGTTTTATTACAAAGGAACTTCAGAAACAGAATGGAAAGGGAGATTGCTGAATTACAAGTTACATTTGGAACAAAAACCTTCCCAGGACTCAACAGGGATATTGGTTTCTTATTTCATTGCATATGCTAACCCATTCAGTCCCCACATACGTATTCTCAACAAGAAGTGTATTTCTTTTTCAGAATAGTATACTAGAATACTGAATGTGATGCAAGGAATATTGGAATGTTTTGCTGACATACCACTGCACCAATCTCAAAAAAGAAAGAAAAAAAATGCAAAATGCTGTTATCTCCACACCTGAGAGGAGACGAATGGTGATTCTCACTTTACTTCCCACAATTAGAAAAGATGCCTTTTCACTTTTATCCCCTATTTTGACATATTTATTACTTTGCTGTCCTATCCCCCTTAATTAAATCAAAACAACTGTTGACCTCATAACCTTAGCTTGTTATTTAGTTTCGACTTTGCATATCTTAAAGCATCCGCATCACGTTACATGTTAACTTGCTGTTCAGCATCTGTCTATAAGTTTGAACTCTAGCTTCCTTTCCAGTGTATTTGAAAAAGTGTGCATGCACACGAAAGCTCATACCTTGAATATACCTTTGTGGGTCTTTAAATTTGTTCTAGTGCTTCAGACCAACACGGCTGACCACTTGGTACTGATGTTCTGTTCTACTGTACCTAGGGCTCCTATGACCACCCTGAACTTGTGAAAGCTGTAGGGCATAACTGTTTAAAGACATGGGACTTGTGGCTGCAGTTCTAACCTTGATGATTAAGCATGATGTTTTCTGGCTTTAAATCTCGATAGATGATCCCCTTCTGATGCAAGTGTCCCAAAGCCATTGAGATTTCAGCCAAGTAAAAGCTGCAAGGAAGAGATTTCTCGAAGTTAAACACACACCAAGGCATGAGGGTTCTGTGGCTCAGTTCAGATGTCCTGCCAAACCACGGTTGAGATTCCTGTCCAGCAAACCGTGACTGACTGCTGTGAACCTGCTTTCATCTCCTGCCTGCTCAGCACTCCCATCTCGAGGGGCGCAAACATCCAGAGAAGTGACAGTCAAATCATCCCACTGAACTGCGGTTAACACAAGCCAAGGTTTTCAAATCCACACCATGGCTTCAGAGTCCGGTTTGCCGTGTGATCACATTCCAAGCATTGCCAATTCAGACATCACACCCAATCAGTTAAGCTTAACCGAGTATGTAGTTTATCCTGTGCAAACAAAAAGTTACTTCTGATCCTTCAGCAATTCCGATCTTTCAGCAATGCCACATAAGGGTCTCCAAGATAGAGATGTTCTGCCAGGCTTCTGGTTGTGGACAGCAATGGTTTTCTATCGTGGCTGGCACCCTCTTCCTTTCCCCCTCCCCTTAATTCTGATCTTGTGTTTCCTCTCCCCCTGCCCAGAAAGTGCCCAGGCAGTCCAGAACTGGGACGAGATTCTTAAGGACGTCATTTGGGACTTCTTTTTAATCTGGCTTTTAAAATCTGTCATTCTAATTTCGTTATATTTTAATTTTTAATGTTTCTGTACATTCGTTTTGTGGCTTTGTGCATCTGCTGTACATCGCCCAGAGCACTGTCCCATCCCCACCTGAAACTTATTCCAGTGTCTCCCAGTGCCCACAGTGCAAAGCGGGGGGCGGGGGGAATCCTTCTGACCCTACACATTGCGACACAGCAGGATGGCATGGATTACTTTCTTAAGAGGACGCACTTAAGTGGAGATCCTGTTAGCTCAACAGCTCAACAGCTAGCAGCAGCTAAACAACATCCTGTCGAGTTTGTTCTCCCCTGGTCACAGCTACCTCAGGCCTGGGTGTGCCCAGAGGCAGAACCCAAAGGGATCTTTGGCCCTTGGCTCTTCAACTGAGGGTTATAGTGTAAACCTGGGTGAAATACTGGCCAGCAGAGAGAAAGAGAAGAACTGCTTGGCTTTCAGTAGCCTTCTCCCCTCACTCTGGGCGATGGCATGGCCAAGGTGGTATACAAAGAAGCCCAGCCCTTAAGAAATCCAGGTCACCAGGCACATTCAGAGTGCCTCTCTGGATGCCAGGCATGATGTCCCCCAACACCTCAAGTAACAAGGAGTCTGCTGCATCTGGTATGGGTAGACGTCGTCTATAGAAGCTCGAGTCACAAGGCCCCTGGGACTCTCTGAACAGCTGAAACACCACTGACTCAATTCGCTCCCCTTCCTCCCATGGACAGAATGCTCAGGACAAGCCACCACCCTACACAGATTAGTATTATGAATTAAGTAAAGCTCATTTCTCTTACCAAGCCGTGTCCTCCATAAATATGCCTTCTCTCTCTAACTGCATGAACAGTTCTCCTCCTACAATGAAGGGAGAGGAAAAAGAAAGGTTAGAAATATGCTGTTCGTTGTGCTGTCACATTGCAGCTGCTTGCGCTTAGCTCTTGGGTACTTGGTTTGTCTGCTTGCACCATGTATTGTGAGGGGGGCACAAAAATGCTCCAGAGAGTGGCCGGACCTAACACCCCCACCCACCCCCAAACAGAGCAGAATTGAGGACTTCTTTACATGTACTAATCCCTCTGAGTTAATGTGCCCAGCCCTAACTGGTTTTCAGTCCTGACTCCCTCGAACTGAAGCACCTTGGTGGTTGATGTAACAGCCGAGCTCTCCTGCCTGACAGCCAGAACAGTGGGAATTATTTTTGACCAGCTGAACTTTACACTTTCAAAACTGGATTACCTCCTTAGTGCAATGCTGGACACCAATAATAGTGCCTTGCCTCCTACGCTCTTAACGCGGTCCCACCACAGGCATGACTCCCCTGTTGATGTTCCCACCAAGCAGTGGTGCCAAAAGGCCCCTAAGCCCTCAGCCACCAGGAGAGTCCACAACTTGTACCAATTAGTCCTTCAGGGCCATCAGATTTGTTTAAATGTCCTATTGGATGATAAAACTTCCCCCCCCCCGGAATTCTAAATTTTGTGTAGTACAGCATCTGAGAGCCCTGTTGAATACCCAAAATCACCGCATCCATCTGAAGTTAGCTGAGAACTTTAACTGCTCCTATAGGGCAACCAGATTATCGTTAACATTTAGTTGCTCAAACATTCCATCTCTGAGATTATGTGACAGAAAAAATCCCTGAATTCTGAGGGAATCTTTCCACCCAGAGTCTTTAATGATGTATCACACTCCCCCTTTCTTTAGCCCAGGGACATCATGCCTCAGAACTGACATCGAGACCAATGGCAGGAAACGAGACTCAGAGTCCCAGATAGCAATCTGATTAGCTGGGATAACCCCACCCCTGCTAACATGGGAGTCCAAGACAGGGGACATCTCACCTAGCAGAACCTCACTGAGTGCTTCTACTGAGGCAGACCTAACCAACTCTTTCAAAGCTCTTCCAGCTAATGAGCAAAAGTCCATCACTGACAGGCTGGAGCAGCTGAGGACCAGGCTCTTGGATATGAAGGACAGCATTTTTGCCGTCCCCGTCCCCCGCTTCTCCCGTTAATTGTAGTTAATGCAAAGATGGCCCCAAGCAACCCACCTATTGTCCACGCTTCCCCAGGAATTCTTAATCCCTCAGAAGCTATTTCTACAGAAGGCGGATAAGTTCCACACAATGAATATGTTTTCACCCAACCCCTTGGCAAACTCAATCCCCAAATCGTTTTTTAAAGGGCCACGAGCTCAGTACAACAGGGCCCCATCCAGTGGGCCCAGCCAGCGAGGCTTCTACTTTAGCTCCAGTGCCCTCACTCAAAAATGGATCCACTCAAGTGGACCCCAATGCAGAACCAAATAGGACTGAAAGGCTAGACTGACTACTACGCCTCCACTCCTGGAACCTTATGGGATGGGGGAATCAACTCCACGATTCAAACTTCCTTTCATTTCTGCAAAAATCTGACATCTTGTGTCTGCAGGAAACTTGGTCCCCCCTATTTCTACAAGGCTTCCAAGAACTTGCTGTCCCTGCTGTTAAAATCTACACTATAGGTTGCGCTATTGGGGGTCTAGTAATCTTGGTCTCAGTTGAGTTGGTCTCAGTTGCCCAGATTAGAGGCAAATACATTAGATTTCTTCTCTGTGTGAACACATATATTCCACCTAGAAGTTCTAAGCCTTCAAGCACAGATGCTATCTGGGATAACTGGTCCACCACTTAAGATGCTCTAGACTCTCAGTTCCCCAACTCCCACAATGCCCTATGCGGTGATGACTTCAATACAAGGAATAGTGCCGGTTCTTCTGGTGCCTCAAAGCGTATAAACAACTGGGTCGTTTCTTAGCTAGGTCATCTTAGGACCAGCTCCTGAACAAGTGGAGTTTGAGACTTCTAGAAATACTATCCTCCCATCATCTACATTGCTTCCATGGAACTACGTAGGACTCCTCTCATGACACTTATACAGACTTGTCCACCCAGGGTGTTAGCGCAATAGATTACATCTCGGCCTCACCATTGCTATTTCAACACACCCACCATTTTGCAGTAGGCAATAGAGCTGAAAGTGACCACTGCCGCTTAAGGACGTCACTTCGCTTCCCAGATGCAATATTTTTTAACACACTGCAGGACCTTCCTGAAGGGGTTCAACAGGGATCAAGAAGAATCAGGTGCTGTTCACCTGCATTCTAACATAGCACACATTCTGGAAGATGGTGTTTTCAAGTCTTTGTGCCAAGAAACATTGAGCGATGGCTTGTATATCCTGGAACCCTTTGAGGAAACTGTCTGCCAGTTTAGACCCTTCTCTCATGATAGACCTCTAAAATCCAAAACCCAATATGGTCCTACCGTCTCTTACACAGGTTGGCCTAATGAGGATGCTGCAAAGGCTTAGCAAGTTCTGCAAAGAATCGCTGTGTGCCAATCACTATAAGACTAAGGTGATGGTTTTGGGGGGGGAAAGCCCCATTAAGTTCCGGTGGCACACAGACAACATCCCAATAGGTCAGTGCTGCAGTTTTAAATTCCTTGAGGTAACATTTTCTGAAAATGTCTCCTGGAAGGATCATCTGGTGAGAACAAAGTCCTCAGTCACAAGATCTTAAGTTCTATTGCTCAAGAGGTGGCTTCTTCATAGATCCCACCTTGAAATTGTTCCATAGTAAAGCCACTACCCAACTCCTGTATGGGGTTGAGATCTGGGATTGGGACAACACAATATCTAGCCTGGAGATAACACAAAACTTCTTCCTAAAGAGAATTTTGATCCTGCCTCCGGGCACTCCAGTTGCCCTGCTGCAAGCCGAATCTGTCTTACCTCCCATTAGGGCCCCCATGCCTTAAGTAATTTTTGGAGACAGTTGAAGAATTCTTCTTCTAGTCATCTTTCTAAGCAGTGCTTTATCCAGCTCCAGAAAGACACCTCTTGGGTTGCCAGCTATCACAGGCTTTCCTGCCATTACCCAATACCTGTTGACTCCCAAGGCTTCCCTCTGGATGGGTTCAAAACTTGGAATCTCATATTCCAATACAGATGCTGCCTTAGATAGGGGAACTATTATCAGTTCTAGATTTCTATCACTTTCTATTTGTCCAGCATCACCTTCCACAAACTTAGAGAAGCCTTTACAGCCCAGAGATTTAAAACAATGACAACCACCATGTCAGTTGGCTGTTATCAGCATACACCAGTTGCTCAGCGAGTGTGTATCTGTGGAGCCCTGGAACTGGAGGATCTCCCTCATGATGTCCTGTTTTGTGACCTTTACACAGTTACGAGGGCCAAGTTCCCTGAAGCCATTTTAGCCATACTATCCTCGCATTCAGTGGCAGACAAAATCCTCTACCTCTTATGTGATGACAATCATTATGTCACCTATATGATGTCACTGTATGCACTGGCTGCCAAGCAAATTTGTGCAAAACTTCCACCCTGATGTTCAGTATACTGTATTCTCCACTATGTCCTGGTCCTGACAATTTTAACATTATTTTTAACCTTGTTGCGTTTTTACTGTAAAATTTACTACTGCTCAAGCAGTTATCATTATATTGTTATAGCCTTTGGCCTCACGTAATGAAAAGCAAGCCATGCCGGAGGAAGAATAAACTAGAGACCTAACTGAGATTTAATGGGTGCGTTCAGTAGCCCTAGGTGCCTTGGGAAGGGGGGGGACAACAACCACAACAGGAATGAACAGTGGAAAAACAGCCACCATCGAACAAGTTGACTCTTGCTAGCTATAATTAAGAACAGTTGCATGCCTACCACTGAGATACTCAAGGATGAGGTAGAGTTTTCCACCAGTCTGAAAGGCATAAATCAAATCAACGATAAATGGATGCTTGACTTCCTCCAAGATGTTCCGCTCTGCTTTTGTGTGAGCTGTATCTTTTGCATTCCGTACAATCATCGCCTGCAGAACAGAAATTTCAGCAATAAGGAGCAAAGACTTTAAACCAGGCTCTTATCAAATTGTAAGACCCCACCAATTACCCTCCACAATTTCCAAATCAAACCATTAGTTTAGTTTTATTATTATAGTTCTAATACCAACATACAGAGTAAGCATAATATGTAAGGGAGAGGAAAAAAACAGTCATAGTATACAAAAATAGAAATCTGAATTTAAGAACATTTAAAATGTGATTCCCGCAATCTAAGAATGCACAAAACTCAGCGACTGAATGTGTAATCTCTACATTTTTATCTGATAGGAGCCAGTGAAGCCTTGCTTTGTTTCTGTTAATGTGCCCAGGTGTCCTATCAACTAATGGGGTAATAATGTTAAGACGAGCCTCCCTGTAAAATGGACAGCTGAAGAACATATGCTATACCGGTTCAACCTTGCTTAAAAGGCATGAGCATAGCCTTTCAGAGTAGGGGTTTTTGTTGTACCTGCCCTGAATAACTGCAGATGGAAGGGCAGAACATCTAGCTAGGGCAAATGCCCTTCTAGAATTCTTTCCCTCCACTGAAATCAAATATATTGCTGGCTCAATGGTGTTTTTGATATTTAACAACACCCTGAGATTGGAAGCCTTAGAGATGTCAGATTGTCGCTCAATATCCTCAACTCTTTGTTTAATTAGCCCTTTGGCTTGTTCAAATCCATTGGATAAGAGTAGCTGAGGTGAGAAGCCAATTCTATGAATATGATATTGAACTGCCTTGATCCAACTGGATTGGAAATCATCCTGGAATATCAGGGGAAGCAAGCCTTGTGGATTGAAATGACCCTTTCAGCCACATTAACTGCAGATACTAGCAGATGGTGGTGGAGACAATAAAGGAACAGGGAACTCAGAAACTTGACTTCCGGGTCAAGGGCTGGTGCAGAAGATTCCACATGAAGACTAACTATATTGCACTTTTTAATCTTGGCCTCTTACTTAAAAAACTTATTAGCTGCCTTTCTTCCTTATGGAGCTCAAGGCACAATTTTCAACATCATAATTTAGGACTGCTTTAATCAAAAGCAATCCTAAATAAAACTGTCTTCAGCTGCCTCCTAAAGATCAAAAGTGTGAGGGGCCAGGTGCACCTCTCTAGGGAGGCTGTTCCATAATAGTGGGGCTGTCACTGAAATGGTCTTCGCTTGGCTGCCCAGATTAGCTTCTTTGGTTGATGGGAAAGTGAGAAGGGCCTCTCCCTGTGATCTTAATTCCTGGCCAGGGACATTTCAGCAGCTGAGAGCAGCATATCTGTTCCTCCCCACACCCGTTTTATCCTAGCAAGCCTGTAAGGAAGGCTAGGCTGAGAGACTGCGTCCGGCCCGAGGTGACAGTCAGTGCAGAATAACGACCAGACTGGGGAGACCTGGGTTCAAATCCTCACCTTGCCATGAGGCTCATGGGTGGCCCAGTACCATACTGTCAGCCTAACGTACCTCAGAGGATTGCTGTGAAAGTAAAATAAGGGAAAGCCACATGTGTGGCCCTCAGTTCCTTGGGAAAAGGCTGGGATTGTAATGCAATAGAGGTTACCCAGTAAGCTTCAAGGCTGAGCATCATTTCCCCAGTCCTAGCACTGCCCCTCTAGCTCCCCAGGTACCTCCTATTGCCCCTCTAATTATTCCATCATTTAGCTAGATTTCACAGACTCCCCCCCCCCATCCTCTTCCCCGTATTGCCTCTCCAACAGTTATTTTCCTACTCTTCTTGACCAAGGGTATGATCCAGCATGAAGGGAATATGTGTTCAATCTTCTGATTTCCTCAGCCGGATTGCAGCTTTAGGAATTTATGTTTCAATAGAGGTATTGAGTAGTAGCTGACCCTTAAAAATGCATGTCTAGGATTCTGCAGAACTTGCTGTTCTGCTGTAGTGTGGTCAGCAATAAGAGCATTTATTAGCATAAGCATCTACCTACGCTCCCTTGCTCACGAGACATGCCCTAAACAGAACTAAGCAGAGGTTCAAAATAATGAAGAACTCTGCAAGCAACTGAGAAACGTTTGGCACAATTGTTTATTAAATGTAAAGGAGAATTACAAGTTTGTTGTAGCTGAAGACTGGAAACCAACTCACCTTTTTAAGCACCTTCATGGCAAATATCTTACCAGTATTTGCTCCTGTTACTTTTCGAACTTGAAATACCTGCCCAAAACAATTAAAAAAAACCACGGTTAAATGCATTTTTAAAAAGACCGCATAATAGTAGCGACTGACATTTTAAATTCATGTTACCAAGGGAGTGGCAAAAAACCCCAGGTTGCTTACCTGTAACTGGTGATCTTCGAGTGGTCATCTGTGCATTCACACCCATGGGATACAGTGCGCATGCGCTGGATCGATCAGCATTGTAGCAAGCTCTTAATGGATTTTCGCGCCCAGACCTCGGGCATGCGCAGGAACCCCACCATGCATGCCCAGAGGGGTGGGCGCGGACATCCTGCCAGTTCCTTCGAACCGCCGCGAATCAACCCCTATGGAAAATGTAGAAGCTGACAGCAGCGGGGAAGGAGGGCAGGTGGTGTGAATGCACAGATGACCACTCGAAGATCACCAGTTACAGGTAAGCAACCTGTTTATCTTCGATGTGGTCTCTGTGCTTCACACCCATGGGAGATTAGCGAACAGTGGCCTACCTGGAGGAGGGTCCTGGCAGGTCCTTACTGCAAAGCCGAGGATAAGATGTGACGTCCCACGTTGGTACGAGAGTTCTTACGGACATCTAGGGAGTAGAGCCTTATGAACATGTTAGGCATAGCCCACGTAGCGGCTCTGCAAATGTCCATTAGGGGAACTCCCTGAAGGAAGGCAGTTGAGGCTGCAACAGCTCGAGTTGAATGAGCCCTGATAGGGCCAGGCAATGGCTGCTTGGAGATAAGGTAGCAGAGGCGGATGAGACTCGCAATCCATTTTGATAGGCACTGAGCTGTGATGCGAGTGCCCAGCCTCGCTGGCGCATAGGAGACGAAAAGTTGAGAGTCACGTCTCGTTGGACTGGTTCTATTTAAGTAGAACAGGAGCGCACGTTTTGCGTCCAAGGTGTGTAATAGCCTCTCCTCTGGGGATGTCGGAATCGGAAAGAAATCCGGGAGGAAGACCTCTGCTTGTAGGTGAAATTCTGACGCCATCTGGCAAAAATGACAAGTAAGGAGTGTCATGTCTAAAAGCCAGTATTTCTCCAACTCGCCATGCTGAAGTGACAGCAACCAGAAAGGTTGTTTTCCACGACAAGAATTTTAGGTCGCAAGTTGCAAGCGGTTCAAAAGGTTTCCTGGTGAGTTGGCGAAGGACAGGGGAAGGTCCCAGGGGACGACAGGAGTTTTGATGGGAGGGTAGAGGTGCAACAGTCCCTTCAAAAAACGTTTAGAAAGCAGATGCGAGAACAGTGTGCATCCTTCAACTTGAACATGATAGACCGAAAGTGTGGCCAAATAAACCTTTAACGAGGAGTGAGAAAGTCCAGAGTCAGCGAGAGACAAAAGAAATGGAAAAACTTTCTCGAGACCTGTGGACGTGGCTCGAGAGGTATCGTCACCCAAGGTGGAACACAACTTTTGCCACTTGTAGTGATATGATCTTCGCATAGTGGGCTTTCTGGAGTTTAGCAAAATGTTTGCTATGTGGGAGGAAAAGCTGTTGATGCTATTCTCCAGGCTGTCAACTTCATTCGTGGCACGTCATGGTAAAGGAGAGGGGACTCGGATAGGAACAGGAGGTCCTGTGCCGGAGGAAATTGGTGGTAGACCCCCGCTGACAGGTGGAGGATGGTTGAGAACCATGGTTGCCGCAGCCACCATGGGGTTATGAGGACGCAGTCCGCTCTGTCGGTGATGATTTTGTGGACGACTCTCAGAAACAGGGGCAGCGGAAGGAAGAGATAGAGAAACCCTCTGGACCACGGATACAGGAGACTGTCCCCTAGAGACTGTGGGTCCCTGCCACCTCGGCTGCAGAACAGAGGGCACTTTTTGTTCGCTCTGGTGGCAAAAATATCTATTTGGGGAACCCCCCACCTGCAGAAGAGAGCGAGAAGGTAAGTTGGGTTCAATTCCCACTCGTGCAGACTGAGTCCTGCCCGACTCAGGTGGTCTGCCTGCACATTCACGTGGCCCGGGATGTGCGTGGCGACTAAGAAAATGGTGTGGGCGATGCAGAAGTGCCATAGCCGGAGGGCAAGGTCGCAGAGATGTTGGGAGACTGTGTCCCCTTGCCTGTTCACATAGCTGAGGGCAGTAGTATTGTCCGTGAGGACAGTGACACATTTCCTCTCGATCAGGGGCAGGAAACTGGTGACCGCGAACTGTATCGCAAGCAGTTCCAGAAAATGTATGTGTTGTTTTCATTTCTGAGTGTCCCATCTGCCTCCAACACAAAGTCCCATCATGTGGGCGCCCCAGCCTGAGAGGGAGGCGTCTGTAGTTAGGGTAATTTGGGGTGATGAAGGGTGGAAGGGTGCTCCCTGGAATAAGTTGGAAGGGACAGTCCACCAAAGTAAAGAGTCCCGTACCTTGACAGGTGGGAATAGGAGGGTGGTGTATGTGTCTCTCTCTGGATTGAAACTGTGAATAAACCAAAGTTGTAGGCAGTGTTCCCTCTAAGCTGAGTGTGTGCCAGCTCACAGTTTTTTAGCCTCCGGCTCACACATTTTTGCCTTCGCTCAGGAAGGAGGGCTCCAGAGCAAGCTAATTTATGCAGGAGCCAAATCGCTCGCTCACAACTTTAATGCCAGCAGCTCACAAAGCAGAATTTTTGCTCACAAGACTCCACAGCTTAGAGGGAGCATTGGTTGTAGGACACGCATTCTCAGCCTTGCGAAGACCAAGACAGAGGTGGTAGCAGCCATCAGACCAAGGAACCTCTGTATTTGGAAAACTGTTACCTAGGGTCGAACACGCATGACAGTGGCAAGATCCATGATGTTGGCCACTCTGTTTTGTGGCAGGTAGGCTCTGCAAGCTGTGGAGTCCAGGAACGCACCAATGTACTGTATTTTCTGGGCCGGTTGAAGTTGAGATTTTTCCAGGTTTACTTGTAGACCTAGGTTTTCCAGGAGGACTAGTGTCTTGTTGATGTTTGAGACTAGATCGTCCCTGGAAGTTGCTACCAAGAGCCAATCGTCGATGTACAGGTAAATGGCGATACCCTTGAGACGGAGGAAGGCTGCAACCACCACCACCGTCTTTGTGAAGACTCTTGGGGCGCTTGAAAGGCCGAATGGCAGGGCTGTATATTGGTAATGATGTTGACCAATAGTGAAGCGTAGGTATTGGCGGTGGGACGGGTGGATAGTGAGGTGAAAGTATGTGTCTTGGAGGTCGAGCGTGGCCATCCAGACGTTCTTTTGTAGAAGTGGCAGAATCTGCTGCAGGGACACCATGCGGAAGCGGTGGTATTTGACAAAGGTGTTTAGCACCCGTAGGTCTAAGATTGGTCGAACGCCTCCATCCCGCTTCAGGACGGTGAAATAGTGGGAACAGAATCCCTTGCCCCGTAGATGTAGTGGCACCTGCTCGATGGCTCCCTTCTGCAGAAGGACAGACATCTCTTCGAGGAGGGCCGAAGAAGGGGGTGTGGAGACGAAGACAGGAGTAATGGGGTTCTGGAGAAATTCTATGCGGTAGCCGTGGGTTAGGATGGACAGCAACCATTCATCTGTGGTGATGTGATGCCAGGTTTGGAGAAAGGGGGTTAGATAGGTTGGATTTGACATGGAGGTAAGGAAGTCAAAAATCCTGCTTGGAGGACTTTGGCTGCTTATTGCGGGAAGACTGTTGTCCCGACCCAAATCTGGGTTTTTGAAATGTGGGCTTCTGACCACCGGAAGATGTACGTGGCCTCCATTGCCTGTCAGGAGATTGACGGTTTGGAGTGCGTTTTTGCTAGGGTCTAGACCAAGGACGAGGCCAATATTGCTGCCTCGTAGAAGATGAGACACCAAGAGCATGAGAAACCTTTATGCTCTTATCCATATCCTGTAATATGGTGTCTGTGGTGCTGTTAAAAAGACCAAGGCCATCGAAGGAGAGGTGTTCTACGTATGACCTAGTATCTGGTGGAAGATTAGTGGTACGGAGCCAGGAATGCCTTCGTAAAGCTATTGCAGAAGCCATAGTCCTGGAGGAAGCATCTAGGGCATGCTTGGAAGTATTTATCTGTTTTGCAAGTACCATGCCTTCTTTTTGGATTATGCAGGCTGCCTGTAGCTTGTCTTCTGGAAGGTGAGCCAGAAGCTCAGAAAACCGTTCCCACAAAGTGTATACCTACTCATACATGCTAAGTAGTTGGTGGCCTTCACTCCTAGCGCACATGTGGAGTAGAAACGTCGCCCAAATGCATCTAGTTTTCTGCTCTCTTTGTCTGAAGGTGCAGAATGTGTTCTCTTGGACTTGGACGAGGAGGTAACTACCATGGAGTTTGGTTGGGGATGGGAGAATAAAAATTCCTCTCCGGTTTCCTGGACTCTATACATATGGTCCAAGTGCCATGTTGACACTGGGGCTGAAGAGGGTTTATCCCATGGCGCCTCTGCTGCCTGTAATAAGACCGTGGACATGGGCAATGCTATGGCTGTTGATGTATCAAGTTGTACGATATCGAAGATGGCGTCTGCAACCTGTGGTAGTTGCTGCACGACTGAGAGGCCAAGAGAGTGGGCCATTCTTTTTATAAGGTCCGCATAAGAAGTTAGATTGTCAGACGGAGATATGGGCTGGTCATCTGCTACTGCCTGGTTAGATTTGTGGTCAGGGGAGGTATGGACCTCTGAAGCCTCCGTATCAGAATCGTCCTCTGGAGAATCCGAGGAATCAGGATCTGGCAATTGAACCGGGGTTGCTCTAATGTGGCTGGTTGACTCCATTGGTGGTGGAAGAGGAGGACTAGGAGGATGACATATTTCCGGTCTATGCTGCGAGGGATCATCAGACGGATGATTCGGAGGACGAGAGAGAGATGCTGAGGGTCTGGACCTATGGGGTGACCGTGATCTGTGGGCAGAATGGGCAGAGTAACGATCCCAATCAGAGTAGCCCACCGGAGTCAACCACGGCATGGATGGTGGATAAGCCCCATAGAGATATCTCAGTTGGTGGTGATCCCACGAGAGAGCCGGAGGTGGGGGCATGAAGACTCGTGGAGATTGACTTCTGGAGCGGGCAGGAGACAGCATAGTATCCTTTCTCTGTGAGCGGCCCCTATAAGCTCGCTCATCGATATCGACAGGTTCAGCAAGCAGACGGGGAGGATGACGTTGAGTATTCCTGGAGATCTGCCGATGCCGACCTGCGTCGACATCGGTGTGGGCCTCGGAGACCGTCAATGTCGGAGAAGGAGAGCAATCCGCGGCCCAGGGCAACTAATGAGCTCCACATTCTCGATATCGGAGAAAGGACGCATCTCTACCAACACATCCTCATTAAGTTGGTGTATAGGAGAGTCCATGAGCTGGATGGCTGGTATCGGTGGAGCGGCATAGGCCTCCAATACCAATACTGCCGTTGGAGCAGGGGACACGTTAGGGGCATTACCCGGTGCAGACGCCGCTACTTTTCCCGTCTTCGCCGCCTTTAGGGACTTAGAGGAGCCCTTTTTGGCGGACTTGTGCTCCTTGCTGGGCTTCAGCTTCTTCTTCGTTGGAGTGGACGTGGAAGACTGCACCTTCAATGCCGGAGGCTTTGACGTCAATTGGCCGATGTCGGTAGACGGCTTCGATGCTGAAGCCGTCGATGGTCTTTCTGAATCCATCACTGAGGGAGGATGTAATGCTGACTCCAACAGCGCTACTCTGAGGCGTGCCGCTCGTTTTTTTCTGGTCTGGTTAGAAAACCTGGCACAATGGCGACAAGACTTGGGCCGGTGTGTCTCCCCCAAGCAAAAAATGCAAAGGGTGTGGCAAACAGGAGGAGCAAGTTTACTGCCGCAACCCTTGCAGTGGTTGAAAAAGCCCCACTTCTTCTCCATAAAATAAGTAAGATGGAGAACAATAAAAGGTGCGTGGGGGGGCGAAGGCCAAAATGAGGTAAACAAAAAAACTTCCCCCTCAACGAAAAACAAATTTTTGTTTGTTTGTTTTGTTGAAGAACAAACGAACAAAGACTAGGAAAAAGAAAGAAAGCTGAGGAAAAAATCCGAAGAGCCTGTGAGGCAAAAATAGTACCGATCAGACAGTCGAACAGAAGGTGCTTCCAGCACGGCGGAAAGAAAGGAACTGGAGGGATGTCCGCACCCACCCCTTTGGCCATGCGTGGTGGGGTTCCTGCGCATGCCCAAGGTCTGGGCGTGAAAATCTGTTAAGAGCTTGCTACAATGCCGATCGATCCAGTGCATGTGCACTGTATCCCATGGGTGTGAAGCACAGAGACCACGTCGAAGATCAAGGAGTTAATGATTTCAAGTCACCTGTGGACTAAGCCAGCATGGGCCTGAGTTCATTTCCTATCTACTACAGCATATCTCACATCCCTCTGACAATACATGTTCTTCTGAAAGCAGAAGGTATCAACCCTGGACTAGTGCCAATAACAAAGAATCAGCTTTGCTATGTGGGCATCAACATAAAAGCATCTAAGAGCCACGCGCCCCTGTTAGGAAAATAAGCACGCAGAACATTGACTTTGTGAAGAGGGTCACGATCCCCGGCCAGATTTCACAAAGGCATTGAGAAAAAGGAGCTGTCACAAAATGCTGAGTAACACTGCAGGCTACAATGATCCGGGGGCCTAAAAATTGCTAAGGCCATAAAGCGAAGAGTGGAGATTAAGAGACCAGGGTGTTATGTGTTGGATCCAAACTAAATTTTCCATTAACAGAAGGGGACTGAGTAATTTTACCAATTCCCTCTTCCCACTGCAGACCCCTAGTTTTGCCTCACGCTGTTCCTGAAGGTCCTGTGACTCCCAGGAGCAGCACTTCTGAGAGTTCAGTGGGGGGGGGGGGGGGGGAGGAAATCCTGCATGGGCTGATTGCAGGCCCAGCGGTGCAGCACTGAGCAAATGCTCCCACGCTAACTGGAGCGGGGCAAGCCCCTTACCCAGCCTGCTCCTCCCGTCTGGGCTCCAGGATAAAAATGCTAAGTGGCTGGGTGTTGTGAGCTCTCCCCCTGCTCCCAAGCCTCCATAGAGGGGGACTGGGAAGATGCTGTGGAAGCAGGGGGGCCAGTGGCCCAGGTCCATGCACAGCAGGACCCAGGCCAAGTGAAGCTCAATAAGCCAGAGATGCCAGTGCAGCAGTGGTCACCTCTGGCTAAAGCCACCAGACAATCCATGGTAGGGTGATGCAGGGGTTTCAAGCCAGAGATTGGCAGCAAGCCACGCCACCCCATGTGGTAGCAACCAGCTCAGGCCAAAGCCTGCCAGATCATCTTGGGGGGGGGGGGCAGCCACTGTACACACAAAGTTGCATGTGTGGCAGGCGTTCCAGGCCACCTAGTGACCAGTGTTCCCTCTAAGCTGAGTTAGTGTGAGCTAGCTCAGTCTTTTAGCCTCCGTCTCACACGTTTTTGTCTTTGCTCAGGAAGGATGGCTCCAGAGCAAACTAATTTATGCAGCAGCCAAATTGCTTGCTCACAACCTCAATGCCAGTAGCTCACAAAGTAGAATTTTTGCTCACAAGACTCCACAGCTTAGAGGGAGCATTGCTAGTGACCAATATAACCGGAGATCACCAGCACCGCCCCCCCATGAGGCAGCCACCATCTATGACTGAAGATTGCCAGGCAGTCCAAGGGGGAGGGAGGCCCGTGCTCAGTGGTAGGATAGACGCCCAATGGGTGGAAGAATCTGCCAAAGAACAGCCCTCCATGGGCCAAAGCACAGCTGCTGGATGGGGGAGGTGAGAATATGTCGGTTGCAGTTGACACATGCAAATGCCGATCCTGATGGCCATCCAGGACAGCATCCCTGAACTGCAGGCTGAGCGGAGAGGTGCGCGACCTTGCCTTGGAATCCTGAACTGGCGTGAATGTTGTTGTGGAGGCTCCCAACTTACCAGTGGGGCTGCCACTGAAGCAAAACGGTTCTGCTTGACTACTGCAGATAAGGTTGTTCCGCCATGCTGAAGCCACAATAAGAGTGGCTTTGCCCACTCCCCCCAGTAGCCTCCTGTCCCCTCCCTCACACCAGTTGCTTGTGGGCTGGATAAGAGCCCTGGATGGGCCAGTTCTGGCCCCCGGGCCTTATGTTTGACACTCCTGACAGACTATCAAAGCATCGTACCTTTCCATAGCCACCTTTGCCAAGGACACGCAGCAGCTCGAAACACTCTGGCCGTATCTTTTCTGGGCCTCTGTTCACACTAGTTTCTGAAATCTCAAATTTTTCACAATGCTCCATGCCACTAAAAAAAAAATGTACAGAGTCAGTAGGGCAGTCATTAAAATAACGCTAGATCTATTAACAATAAACAGTCTAACCAGAGGTGAAGTGTGCATCCCGCAGAAAAAAAACTGGAACACTGAAACATTAAGAGGAAATGTTAAGTGGCAAAGCGCCTTCTAGAAAAAGGCAGGCTCAAGTCTATAAGTTCAAATCTTTCATCTGAAGATACTCTGTACGGCTTTGACAAATGCCAACTGTGACCACTAAAACAGACACAAGATGTTCAAACTAGCAATTTCCAACTAGTGGAAAAAATTATATATTGAAACACTAAAATGTAACAAATATTCTTGCTCCAATCCATACTTCCTGAGAAAATATATATAAGAATGCTGTCCACATGAACTGAGCACCATTTCCCCTATTTTCATAATACTGTTCACCTTTTGGGAAAAAGTATGGCAGTGAGAAGAGAAACAAATAGGACAACACCACTGAACAAAAGACAAGATCCCCAAGCGTTCAGACATAATAATAAACCATGATTTGATGAAAACCCGATTTGCTGCAAAATCCGACCAAAGAGCGTTTGTTGATTTTGCACCAAGTTGAGGTTTCAATCTAAGATTTGTAGCTGGCTCTGCTAGCTGCAGTTTATACTAATTGCAATCTGTTTTAATGCCTGAATTTACAAATGGGGTTGCAGCTGAACCATGAACCAATACACTGGTTCGCAAACTGAACCGGTTCTTAAGCCATTTAAAGTTTTAAATCTCTGCTATCTGCTCCCCGTTGCTATTCACAGGAAGCAGAAAGACAGGGGTTTAAGAGGCTCCAAGCCATTTAAACCAGGGGTGTCAGACTCATTTATGAGGGCCGAATCTGACATAAATGAGACCTTGTTGGGCCGGGCCATGTCTGTCATAAAATGTAATGCCAGGTAGCAGAGATATAAACTTTGTAAAGGACACAAAGGTTTTTTTTTTACTTAAAATAAAAACATGCTTAAAAAATTAGCACTCTTGCAATATTTTGTTTATTTAACAGTGTCTAATAACTGACACCTCTTGCTCCGAATCATTGCATCAAAATGTCTGTGCTGTTGCAGTCCTGAGTATGCTGTTCAGGTGTGTATCTGTAAGCTGCAAACCTACGATGATGCAGCAGCAGCAGAACTGGAAGAAGCAGCAGAAGACAACCAGTTCCACTGCAGGCCTGATAGAAGCTCTCTGGGGGCCTGATGCGGTCCCCGGGCCACATGTTTGACACCCCTGATTTAAACCAAACAGCTATTTTTTGAGAAACCTCTGTTTTCTGCTCTTCACAAAGGGCTGCAAACTGCATCAAAATTCATAGAAATTCGTGGCAGTTCTTCAGTTTGCAAACTACGAACTGGCCAAAATTTGTGAAAAACTATTTTGTCAGCCACTTTATGCCTATCCCTATTTACAAACTGCAGCACTGCTGTTTTTTCTTAGCCCTTATAGCCACAGAGACAGCATTCTAAGGATGATGTTTTCTATACTGAGAGATGGAGAAAAAGAAGCAGCAAATTAGGAGTTTATGCACACATCTATTTGTTACTCTTATATATTAGACTAACCAATATTCAGCTGCAGAAGCCATGCTATATAGTAACGTGTGAATACAAAGGGGAGAGCCTTCAGAGCTTCTAGACTAAGGATTAAACATAATCTGTGATATGGCTTTTCAGGAACAATAAGAATTGGAAATTTTTAAGATGTCCTAGAGCATAAACTGATTTAGTGCTTTTGTTCTGATTTATACTCAGTGAACAGAATTTAGAAGGACATCATGTAAATTTTACTTCCCAATAGCAACAAATACTTGAATTGAAATATTTTTATTAGATAGATACATCAAATGTGACTTAAATGTTATACTCAGACTAAATAAAAGCTTTATGGGGAAAATATTATTGGAATAATGTGTGTAAAAATATAACGTACTTTTCTTACATTGCTTCAATTTAAGGAAAAAAGCAATGGCAATGGAAGCTGCTGAGACTCTGATTTTTAGCACACCCAGGGAACTGTGCATGATGTGCCCATGGTTGTCCACTCATTTATTTCAAAAGAGCTGAACTCTCATCCATGGATTTCACTGGGGCACTTCAACAGGCGTATTACTTGACTGTACAGTTCCTAGGGATAGCCACTCAGAAATCATTAATTACAGCTTCAAAACTTCCAAGCCTGCCTAATATTGTATTGGCAATGGCGTCCATTCACTGTTAGATTTATGAAACTGTGAATCTGTAAAATAAAGCACAAGAAAACATTCTGGATTTTTTTTTTTTGTGAAATTTTCCATCCCACATCTCTAAATGCCACAATGCAAATTCCTTTCATTCTTTCCTTGTAGGATCAGCAAGAAAATTTAACCCGTAACCTTTAGACATAAAGCCCACTGTGTGCCTGCATACTGAGTTACAACAATGCAGACAAAGATAAGCAATTGGCAAATCTTGGGTAAAATGTGCTCTCCTGAAAACTACTACCCCCTTGCCTACTTCAGAGCGAAGGTCAGTCTGTCCTATTCAGTAAAAGTACCTAATTATCAGGGCTGTTATCGTTAGAAAACAGACATAAAAACAAGCTGAAGAGTCCTCCTGAAAGTTTTTTGAAGGCATTCCCCATAGTCCAACAATGACACCAATTCTTCAGCAACTATGGTTTTCTGAACACCAAACACTTCCAAGTCAGGATCAGCTCAGAGGAGTCATTCGACTGCCATTTTGCTTCAGGAGGTGGTGTTTGTTTTCCAGGGCCTTTACATGAATTTATTAGCAATGTAACAACTTACAGGTCATATGGGCCGACTCCTCCATGGTCCATGCTTTCACTTAAGTGACCCTAGAACAAAACAAAAAGTTACTACATCACTGTAAACAAGAACCATTTAAAAAACCCTGCTAGTTTTTTTTGCTTGTCACTGCAAGGCTGGCTGCCTACAGAACGTGTATAAGCACGGACAGTGGGTACGAGATGGTAACCAGATTTTTGTGGAACATCCACAGTATTCTACCGGAGAGCTGCCAAACCCTCTAAACAGCAGCATAAGGACTTGGCACTCTCTCTCAGACTGCACTGTTAACCAATCATACACTAGCCTTCAATACAGAGTTGCAATACTGTTATGTTAAAAACGTAGGCAATGCATCTGAAAAACTCTTTTATACGTAGGCCTGGTATACATCTGATTTTGCTTCCCTTCCCCCATGGAAATCCCCCTCCGCCCTGCTTTCCCTTTTCAGGATTAACTATGGTGCTGTGTTACATTTGCCCTAAGGTTAACTCTAGCCCTGGAAAGCTTCAGATACTGGCTTCAAAACTAATACCACTGTTAACTGCTGCAGACATATGTTCTGTTAGTGGATCATGGAATTTTGCTCCAAAGTCCACCAAAGGCCTGAGCTTGAGTTTAACAATGCTCAAGTGATGAAAGACCAATTTAGAAATTTACTCCATTACAGACAACACAGAAACCAATCTACTTCACCACTCCCAAGAGATTCCAGTAACATCGCTCACAAAATGAAGCAGGGCACCATAAGCACATTTGATTCCTCGTATTATGTACCAGTAGCAGTAACTAAATCCATTGCCAGAGGTACAAAAATCCAAATGTGCAAAAAAGGGCCTGCCATAGGGCTGTCAGCCTCCAGGTAGAGCCTGAAAATCCCATGGAATTACAGCTCAGCTCATGAGTTGGCTGGAGAAACCGGCAGCTTTGGAGGATGGACTCTATGGCATTTATACCCACTAAGGTCTCTCCCCAAACTCCACCACCAAATCTCCAGAAATTTCACAACCTGGAGTTAGCAGCCCTAGCCTGTCAACTGATGCCCCAGTTAATGCAGAGCTTCAAAAGCTGGTGCCTATTCCTCCCCTAGAAAACCCTTCTGGTTCCTAAGCTTTCCAGAATTTGTAGCCCAACTACGGCTAACAACTACGTATCAGTACATGATCCTGTGTATACTGACAATAAGCTAGGTAACTATATATCACTGCTAGTGGTATCCCTCCTATATTTAAAAACAAAACTGCCTATATAGGAGGCTCCAAGGGCCTGGAATTTAATCCTGACGTTAAGCAGGCTCACTATGATCAATTTTAGAATCTCTGCTACAGTGCGAAGGCAGAACAGTCCAAAGTTGTTGAAACAGGCAAATATAACTGAGAGGCTGACGAGTACAAAGTAACCCATTACACAACAACGGCAACCTCAACACACAAGGATTTTGATTTACAATACCACAGTACTACTGAGAGACCTCAAAGCAATCCAGAATTTTCAGTGGCACAATTAACAGCAATTGTTTTAACTCTATGTATAAAGCACTAACCACTCACAAGCAGCTAGAACACCTTTCCATAAATCTTGTAAAATATTTATGAAAGGCGTTGTTACATTTACAGAAGTGTTTGCCTTTCATGAATGTTTACCACTGACTTAGATGCTAGCCCACAAGGCTACACTATAGAATTAATATTTGTGGAACAGCTGCCCCAATCTCTGTTCCAATGTAGGGTAAATAAGGCAAATCCTATTGCTCTAATGCCACGAAATATCACTCCAGAATTACCCTAGGAATGTACATCTCTCAAGTTGCAAGGAAGAGCTGCGTGGATGCTAAACAGACTCTTTTAGCACCTACCCATGCGTTGGGACAAGCAGCAAAAAGGAAATAATGCCATCCTGCACCATCTAACAGATTCAAGCACTCTAAATGGGGCAGTGAGCCCTGTCCAGACAGCACTGCAGGAAAAGTACACTTCTCACAATGCATTATGCTCTCCGGCATCTCCACTCACCAGGCAAAAAAGCAGCAGCTCTACCTCAGAAAGGGGTTCCTCCAAGAGGAAATGGCTACATCCATTTCCCAACATTTTATCTCCGCATTTTTAAAGCAGCATAATACTTCTTAACTGCTCTAAATGTGAAAGTGGTCCAAATATAGCCACCCACCAAAATTATGTGCCCAATTCCCCCCCCCCCGCCCATAGCCTCTTTATATCTATGAGAATAATTTATGTGGCATACCAACAGCCTGGGAAGCAGGAGGTGGGGGGACGTTAACTCCTGCCTGATTCTCAAAATGACATTTTTATAAGGGAGACAAGCAGATCTGTGATTCTACAGGCCTAAAGTACACTACTAGCTAGCAAAAGCATGAGCTTCAGCTCCTAAAACATTAACTTTCAGTGACGATCATGAAGGGGTACATATAAAAAAGTTATAGATATGCTTAGATACCCCTTTGCTGGTATATTAAGTAAGCTTAAGACAGAAGCAATGCTCCCTCTAAGCTGTGGAGTCTTGTGAGCAAAACGTCTACTTTGTGAGCTACTGGCATTAAAGTTGTGAGTGAGCGATTTGGCTACTGCATAAATTAGTTTGCTCTGGAGCCATCCTTCCTGAGCTAAGACAAAAATATGTGTGCCGGAGGCTAAAAAACTGTTAGTTAGCTCATACTAACTCATCTTAGAGGGAATTCTGGACAGAAGTCCACTGTAAACTGATGAGGCTTGGCTAGGCATAAAATGTTAAATGATATAGATTATCATCAGAACCTCCTACTCACCTAAGAGGGCAATTCAGCAGCTACAGCTGATAGCAAGTCTAACTGACGCAATGCTCCTTTCACTATAGCCCTGTGCTCCAGAGGTGCTGGGTCATCTTGCCTGATTCTAGAAGCAGACTCACTTTAGACTTATCTTCCCCTTCCCCAAGGCAAGTGGCCTTCTGTTAATGGCTTACCCTTCTGCTCTTCCTCCAGCAATAGTTTCAGTATAAATTTATTCTTATACATTAGTTAATGTATGCCAATTAAAACAAACCCTCAATACAACTCTTAGCAAGCAGGCACTTGCTGATGCTCAAGCATATGTGCACATACCCCCACACTATCGACGTTAGTTATAACTCTGTGTTAAGAAGTTCATGAAGGACAATACACTAATGCAACATACAAATTAAGCATCTTAAGTTTTATTCCAAGAAACAATGTTTTATGTCTCTGGCGTGCCTACCCTAAGTGCCTTTTCCACTCCTTCCTCATGTTAATGTCCTTCTCACCCTATCATTAGCATGCTCACTCATAAATGTTTAGATGGTAGGTTACCTGGAACAGCAACCTTTTTTTGGGTTGGGGTGTGCTCAGAAAGAGCTATGCACATCATCAATGGCACAATAAAGCTAACAACAACATACTCTCATTTAAAGATGCATAAAATTGCAGTCTTGGTCTCCTTTTCAGCTCCCTTCTTCCCTCCCCCATCTCCCACCCACCCTCTCCCATTTTGGGTCAATGCAAGGTTTTCTAATGCAGCTGTTACTTCATATAGTATTTCCTGCTTCTATAAAGTGAAAAAGGATGATGGGAAAGAACAGAACTAAATTGCAATTTCTGTACAACCAGCTCACACAGGCGACATACAAATGTATGCAGAGCACATCTGGATGCTCCTACTGCATAATATCCATTAAGGATGTGCAATAAAGTCAACAACGATGCTCTAAAGAGAGTTCTGCTGGATCTACTCTGTCCGGCTTTCTTGGAGCTGACCTAGCATAATGGCCAAAAGCTTCAGCTACAACCCAGGAGGTGGCCAGTTTAAACTCACAACATTATGTAGCCTTAGGCAAGCCACTCCCATCCTCATTCCCCTTTCTGCACCATAGGGCTGACACTAGCCTACATTGCAAGGCTGTTCCAAGAGCTACCATAAATGGTAAGTCACTGAACATGCTATACCATTTACTGCTTGTTCAACATACCATGTTGAATAGTTACACTTTGTTCCAATTTCTGCAATTCCAGTCCTATTACACTGCTAATTAGATGTCTCATCCAGACAACTACATTGACCTACACTGTGTAACCCATCTTGAGTCTCAATAGGAAAGGCACTACAGATAATGTAAACTTCTGTATAGGTACTGTCAAAATAACTATGAAATAAATAGACACTGTCCAGCAGCAGTGATCATAACAGCAGCCAACTCCATGCTTGTGGAAACCTACATGCAGGGTATGAAGGCAGCACCTATCTCACACTGCTTCCCCCACTGCAACTGCTCCTATCTCTGGTGGTTCCATTTCGATATCACAGCTCAGAGCTTAAGTACCCTGGCTGAATCAGACCATTGTCAGCCTACCATCACATGTGCAACAGTGGCCAGCTGGCTGTTTTTTTTAGGAAGTCCAGAAGCAGAGAATGGGGGCAGCAGCCCTACCCAATCCCCAGCCACTAGAACCCAAAAGGACCATTCCTCTGAACACAAGAGCCCTATGCAGCTAATACAGCCACTGATCTGCAAAAATCTGCCTGATCCAGTGCCTTGGAGCAGTGAACCCCATCAAGCTACATACAGAGCTCTTCTCATGCTCAAAACCATCATTATGAGAGACGGGGGGGGGGGGGAAGCTTACTCATGCTGTCAGCCTTGACAGATGCTGTTCAGTAGTGTGAGAATCTAACTGCAATTCTACGCACTTACAGCTTGCCCGTCTCCCATAAAGAACCATCTGCGGAAATGTTACTTTTAGAAATTAGGTGGTTCTTCCTGCCTCCTGCTGCAACGAATACCCAGGGATTTTTTATTTATTTTTTTGCATCACCCCAGAATGGGAGAGGGTAGCCAACCGCAGCCTAGGAATTTCCTAGAGATTTGGGGCCACGTCCGTGCCTTCCCCGTGGAGGGCCCAGGTTCGCCTGATCCCGGAATAATATCCCTGGTCAGTCCTCGGACGGGAGACCAGTAAGGAACTCCAGGGTCGCTGGGCAGAGGCAGGCAACGGCAAACCACCCCCGTTCACCTCTTGCCTCGGAAACCCCACGGAAGGGGGTTTCTTCCATAAGCCGGCTCCGTCTCGACACACTTTCCGCACCCGAGGAGACGGCAGTCTGGAGAGGCATCTCGGCCCAGACCTACGGCCTGACACGGAACCCGCCGTCTGAATGCGCCATTTCCCCCGTAGGGGACGTGACCTCGGCAGACCGGGGTCCAGTCGGGATTCCGGGAGAACTCCAGGCCCCACCAGGAAGCCAGCAGTTCAGAGCGGCGGCGGCAGAACCGGGGAGAGAGAGAAGGGCGGGAGCCGTGAGGAGAGGGCGCGGGCGGCGCGGGCTCCTCCTCGGCCGGACCCCCCTCCTCCTCCGCCGCCGCCCCGCGCGGCTCCCGGGCCCCTCCGGAGTCTCGGCTAAGGGCGGGGGCTCCTTTCCCCCCTTCCATCCCGGATCCCTCCCGGGCCTCACCCCTTCCTCCAGCTCCTCATCCGAGGCCACCTCCTCCGGCTGGTCCAGGTCGATGTCGAAGACGCCCGCCATGGCCCGGGGGGAAGCGGGGAGGACCGGCGCGTCGGCGCCGCCGCCCTCCCTGCTTGCCTGCCTTCGCAACCACCAAAAGCGCCGAGCGGGCGAGGGCCGGCCTGTGCGGGCCGCCTCCTCATGGGCTCTCCGCGCTAACCGCGAGCGCCGCCATGACGGCCTACCAGGCCCTCCCCTCGGTCGACGCCTGCGCGCGCCCTCTCCAACACAACTGCGCATGCGCCAAGCGTGGCGGGCGGGTAGGGGAAGGGAACCTCGGCTGCCCGCCTACGCCCTCCCTCGTGCCTTCCTGGCCGTCAGCGCGCACGCGCGGGGCGGCCCATCCTCCCAGCAGCCGTCTCGCCTCGCGGCCAACGCGCCTCAGTTAAAACGTACGCGAGCTTCTGTCCGTCTTCCTGTCATCGGCTTTTTTTTTTTAAAAAAAAAATCGGCATGCGCTACACGGAGCTCCCACCCACCCCTCTCCGGCCGCCGCGCGACGTCAAGCATGCGCGCGAGGCCAACACAGCCCTGCAAATTTTTCCCGCCTGAACTCGCGCAGTTCATTGACGGAGGGGGGGGGCGAGGGAGAGTGTGCGCATGCGCCTGGAGGGGAGGAGGCGTCTGAGAGGTACTTGTGAAAAGGGCGGTTGGTTTCCTGTGGGGCAGTTGAGGTGGGGGCCGAGTGGGGCCTGAAAATTGTGTAGCTGCCCCCCGCACTTCGCTCGCCCCTTCAGCAGAACCACTACTAGTACATTTTAGAACAAAGTTTGAGTCCCTTGGTATCTTTCAGATCAACAAAGTGTTATTCAAGGTGTGCAAGGACACTTTTTCAGGTACAGGTACAGAAACACACAAAGCTCATACCTTGAATAAAACTTTGTTGGTCTAAAAGGTGCCGCTAGACTCAAACGTTGTTCTACTGCTTCAGACTAGGGTTGCCCGCCTGGTTGCCAGCCTCCAGGTGGGGCCTGGAGATCTCATTTTACAACTGATCTCCAGCTGACAGTTCAGCTCCCCTGGAGAAAATGGCTGCTTTGAAGGGTGGACTCTATGGGATTGCACCATGCTGAGGCCCCTCCCCTCTCCAAACCCCACCCTCTCCTGGATCCACCCCCAAAGTCTCCAGGTATTTCCCAATCTAGACTTGGCAACCCTACTTCAGACCAACAGGGTGACCCCCCACCACCACCCCTGGATCTAGTACACTTTTAGATTCAGGTGGATAGCCGTGTTGGTCTGAAGCAGCAGAAAAAATGTTTGAGTCCGGTGGCACCTTTAAGACCAAGAATATTTATTTCTGGATGTAAACCTTTGTGTGCAGGCACAGTTCAGATATAGTGAAACAGAATTTCCTCAGCCATTACATATAGGGAGAGACAGGGTCGGGTGGGGGGGTAATGTAATCATTGAGGAAAGTCTGTTTCTCTATATCTGAAGAAGTGTGCGTGCACACGAAAGCTTCTATCCAAAATTAAACATTTGGTGGTCTTAAAGGTGCAACCGGACTCAAACATTTTTTCTGCTGCTTCAGACCAACACGGCTATCCACCTAATTCTTGGTATAAGCTTTATAAGGTATCTGAAGAAGTGTGTGTGCACACAAAAGCTTATACCCAGAATCAAACTTAAAGATTCCACTGGACTCAAACTTAGTATACTTTTATGCATACTGTTGTCAGCCATGCACACATTAGTCATTCCAAATGTTAGTCTGTTGTTGCAAAATAGAACAAAAATCTAGTGGCACCTTAAAGAGGAACAACACAGATCTGTCTGATGAAGTGGGGCAGTAGAACAAATTTTGAGTCCAGTGGCACCTTTAAGACTAACAAAGTTTAATTCTTGGTATAAGCTTTCACGTGCATGCACATTTCAGACCCACAAAGGTTCATATTGAAATAGATATTAGTCTTTTTAGCGCCACTAGACTTTTGTTTTCTACAGTTTAGCAATACTGTATTAAATACTGGTGCAATATATTTATTACTCTTATTATTATTATTATTATTTATTAAATTTATACCCCACCCTCCCCACTGTGACGGGCTCAGGGCGGCTAACAACCATACACATGGATATATACTGTGGGTGAAGTGTTATTAAAACGTCATCTGCTTAGATGCTAATAGTTAAAATGATTGCCTTAGGTCTTTTCTGTCATTATTTGCAGCATTCATATTGTACTTTACTAATACAACACATAGTACATGTGTGCCTTCATTATTGTGAATTGCTGTTCAAACAGAAGCGAATAGTTTGAAATTTTGGCATCATATCTTTTTAACGTGTCTGTTATGTTTTAGAGTCGATTGCATAAAATAATACCAAATATGAGCACAACTTGAATAAAACAATCTATGAGATGCTAAGAGATTAGCTAGTTGCATAGGATCTAATTTTTTATCGCTTGCAATCCTGTTTACACTGTTTGATTTATTATCAGTTTTTTATGCCATACTTCTTCCTAGGATCTCAGTATACATAGTTCCTCCCCCACCACCATGATAGCCTCACAAGAACCCTGGAAAGTATGTTAAGGCTGAGAGTGAGTAACTGGCCTAAGGTCACCCCGCAAGCTTTGTGACAGACTGGGGATTTGAGTCCAGCTGTCCCCAATACTCTAACCATTATTATTGCTGTTGTTATTGTTGTTATTACTATTTACAGCCCATCTTTCTCACTGAAACTACATCATGCTAGCTCTTGTTCTTGTTAACCGTTACTAAATGCATGCACACTTGTTTCTTATGAATTACTGTTATTAGAACGTTGTTGTTCAGTCTCACAGTCGAGTCTATTGTTTTCCTCTATTACTTTGCACTGTTGATTCAGGAAGGCTTCCTTATCTCTCCTTGCTGTTCTCTGGAAATCTGCATTCAGTTGGGTAAATCTTTCCTTTTCACCTTTGCCTTTCGCTTTCCTTCTTTCCTCTGCTATTTGTAAAGCCTCATCAGACAGCCACTTTGCTTTCTTGCATTTCTTTTTCTTTGGGATGGTGGTGATTGCTGCCTCCTGTACAATGTCACGAACCTCCGTCCATAGTTCTTCAGGCACTCTATCAAATCTAGACCCTTGAATCTATTCTTCACCTCTACTGTATATTCATCAGGGATGTGATCTAGGTCAAACCTGAATGGCCTAGTGGTTTTCCCAATTTTCTTCAGTTTAAGTCTGAATTTTGCAATGAGTAGGTCATGATCTGAACCACAGTCAGCTCCGGTTCTTGTTTTTACTGACTGGATAGAGCTTCTCCATCTTTGACTGCAAATTATATAGTCAATCTGATTTCGGTGTTGCCCATCTGGTGATGTCCATGTGTAGAGTCGCCTCTTAGGTTGTTGGAAAAGGGTGTTTGCTATGACCAGTGTGTTCTCTTGACAAAACTCTGTTAACCTTTGCCCTGCTTCATTTTGCTTTCCAAGGCCAAACTTGTCTGTTATTCCGGTTACCTTTTGACTTCCTACTTTAGCATTCCAGTCCCCTATGATGAGGAGGACATCATTTTTTGGTGTTAGTTCTAGGAGGTGTTGTAGGTCTTCATAGAACCGGTCCACTTCAGCCTCTTCTGCATAAGTGGTTGGGGCATAGACTTGGATTACTGTGATGTTGACTGGTTTGCCTTGGAATCGGACCGAAATCATTGTCATTTTTGAGATTGTATCCCAGTTCTGACTTTTGCACTCTCTTGTTGACTATAAAGGCCACACCATTTTTTCTACGAGATTCCTGGCCACAGTAGTAGATATAATGGTCTTCTGAGTTAAATTCGCCCATTCCTGTCCACTTTAGTTCACTGATTCCTAAGATATCGATGTTCAGTCTTGCCATCTCACTTTTGACCACGTCAAGCTTACCTTGATTCATAGATCTTACATTCCAGGTTCCTATGCAGTATTGTTCTTTGCAGCATCGGACTTTCCTTTCACCATCAGACACATCCACAACTGAGCATCCTTTCGGCTTTGGCCCAGCCACTTCACTCTTTCTGGGGTTACCTGTACTTGCCCTCTGCTCTTCCTCAGTAGCATATCGAACACCTTCCGACCTAGGTTCCCACTAAGCTGCGCTGGGCTGTGCCAACGCAGCAATTTCAGGGGCCCAGCACAGCAATTTTTATCTTAGTGCAGGAGCGGGAGATTCTCTTTCAAATTCAGGGCTATTTTTGGGGTGGAACGGTGTTCTAGCAGGCTTCCGAGCCGCCTCCTCCCCTCCCCCCCAGAAGAAAAAGCGGCAGCAAGCACGTAGAGCATGTGTACTCGCCGCTGATCTGTTGCTGCTGCTGCCGCTGCTCCGCCTCCAGGACTCTCCTAAAAGCAAAGTAACGGGGGGAGGTGGGCAGGTGGGTTGGGGGGGAGGCAGGTAGCTGGGCACTCTCCTTCCTCTCCCGGGCAGCACCGAGCCCGCCCCTCTCCGCCCCGCCCCCCGTTGAAGAAAAAGCGGCAGCAAGCCCTAGATGCCATAGTTCTCCGGGGCAGTGCGTCGAGGGCCGGCACCATCGACGAAAGCTGGCGGGCGGTGGGTGGGAAGGCCCTTGCATTCCCCCCACAATGTGGCGCGGCTGTCCATGAGGGCCTGCTGCAGCGCGGCCTTCGAGGTTCTGCCGTGCTGTCGGGGGAGGCAGCTGAGTGTGTGTGTGTGTGTGCGCGGGGGGGGGTTGGAAAGCTCCCGGCTCCCTCCTCCTCCTTCGCAGCGTGGCCCTCGGGGGAGGCAGCTGAGTGTGTGTGTGTGTGTGCGCGGGGGGGGGTTGGAAAGCTCCCGGCTCCCTCCTCCTCCTTCGCAGCGTGGCCCTCGGGGGAGGCAGCTGAGTGTGTGTGTGTGTGTGCGCGGGGGGGGGTTGGAAAGCTCCCGGCTCCCTCCTCCCTCCTCCTCCACAGCGCAGCCTTCGCGCTGTCAGGGGAGGTGGCAGAGTGTTTGTGTGTGCACGTGGGGTGTGTGTGTTACAAAGTGCTGTTCATCATCCTGAGCCAACCTGTGTTACACCAGGGTTAGTTCCCTTACCCTCGGTTCCAGGTCATTTATGAAGCATATTAAAAAAGAAAGCATAGAATGGGAATAAATGAACAGTTTTCAGAGCTGAGGGAGATAAACAGTCGGACCTCCCAGGGGTTGGTGCTGGACCATCCCGCTATTTAAAATAATTACCAATCCATACATTCTCTTATCTCAGAACCTGCGGTGAAGAAGCTTGTTAAACACTTTTAGAAAGCCCAAGTACACAGTGTCTATAGAGTCACCCCTGTCTACATGCTTGTTGACATTATCAAAACATTTTTACAGGAGTCAGGATGATTCATTTTTGGCAAGGCTTGCTCATCTATGTGTTTAACACTTCTGTCTTCAATGACGCTTTCTACTAATTTTCCAGGGACAGACATCAAGCATTTAGCCTTGATGTCTGTACTTTCCTGGGTCCTCGTTGGATTCTTTTTTAAAATTGGAAGGATGCCAGTTATTTTACAGTCTTCTGGCACAGAGGCTCATATGAATAACAAATCACATACCTTTGTTAGGAGGTCAGCAATTTATTTTTTACTCCACTAAGAATTCTTGGGTGCGTACCATCTGGATCAGGCATATTTGTTAATTTTTAATTTCTTAATGAGCCCTAGAGGTCCTACTTTGGACACCTCTCTGAAAAGTTTGGCTCAGATGTCTGCCCAGCTTCTTCCACAGTGATCAAAGAAACAAACATTTACTCAGCGTATCTGCAATCTCCCTAGCACTCTACAATAATCTTCTGTCATCATCATCAAATGGTCCAGTGTTGGCTGGTTTTCTGCTTCGGATGTATTCAAAGAAGTGACTTGTTCTAGTGCTTCTAGCAATGTGCTCCTCAAATTCCATTTTAAAATCTGATTTAGCACTCCCATTCATTTATTTTGCCACAGTTTGTACTCTCTCAAATTTTCATCATTTGGTTTGATTTCAGCTTTCTAAAGCAAGCCTACTAGCCTTTTATGGCTTCCTTGATTCTACTTGTTAACCATGCCAGGCCCTTCTTGGCATTATTTCTATCCTTCCTAGTCAGTGGTAGACATTCGTCTAGCTGAGCTCTTATTACTGTGGTTTTAAATTTGTACTCTCTCAAATTTTCATCATTTGGTTTGATTTCAGCTTTCTAAAGCAAGCCTACTAGCCTTTTATGGCTTCCTTGTTTCTACTTGTTAACCATGCCAGGCCCTTCTTGGCATTATTTCTATCCTTCCTAGTCAGTGGTAGACATTCGTCTAGCTGAGCTCTTATTACTGTGGTTTTAA